CAGTGAGATCTAAGTTAAAATATATATATTTTCGAACTAAAATAATTGGGAATGCCATTTCCATTTGTAGAGATTGCGGAATCTAACTCATTCCAATCCAGTAAAGGGCTTTGTTTTTTCTATTAGAATAATGTGAGGAGAATATATTCCCTAGCTCATCATAATACCTTATTCATATATGTTCAAGATGTTTATGAAAAAGATTGTTTATTAATTAATTAATTATTTTTTTATTTTTGCGATGGGTGAGGTCTTTGATCGAATCAGACTAAGACATGACTCCTTTTTGTTTTTGGATCAAGATGATTAAGACAAAGCTTTCTTGGTTTTGGTCAACAAGCATTTGTCCTTAAACAAAGGCAGAAGGCCTAAAAGACGAGAGCCAGACAAAGCTAAGCTCGCCATTCAAGTTGGGCCGAAAATTATATTCTGAGTTAAGCCCATACTGAAGTAGACAAATTTGGACAAAAAAAAAACTAAACTACCATTATGTTGACTAAAAAAAATGAACCCACCTAGCTAGCTAGACAGCATTGCTTGCAACACCAATGAATCATGTTTCATGGCTATCTTTTGACATTATCATTCTCAATAACGTCTTTGATATTTTATTAAAAACGATAATTTTGTTTGGGATACATTAAATAAATATTCCATTGTTGTCTACTAATCAATTTAGACTTCGAACAATTTCTCACACACCAGATTCATTTAGTGAAAAAAGGTGACAAATTAAGGAAAGAACACACAAAGCTCGTTCAACACTTGACCTTGATTACATATATTTAGAAGGACAACCTTATCCACGAATACATTGTCCAATCCAATCAAAGCAGGTCAATCACTGATGAGTGTCTCAACTTATCGATAAGTAATTAACACTACCGACTAATTAAAGATATACAAAATAATTCCTTCATTTTTTCTTTACTTGTCACTCAAAGTTATTTTAGATAATTTTAAAAAAAACTAATTAATATTTAATTTATATAAAATTATTATATAATTTTCAACTTTATTCTTACTTTGATTAATCACAACAAATTTATTTTTAACAACAATATATCTTTTACTCTTCTCTACTATTATAGTATCATATATATAAAATACGTGTACTTATAAATATTTATATATTTCTCAAATAATATTATATATAAATTGTAATTTTTATTTAAAATATAAACTATAATTTATTTAGTATTTATTAATATATTATATTTGATTGGTTTTATAATGATACACAATTATAAATTTTTATGTTTTTTTTATTTTTATAATATATTATAATGATTTATATTTATAATTTTATTAATTTTTTATTTTTTCACTTGATTTATTAATATTTATTTTTTTATGTAATTTTCATCTTTGATATAAATATCATCCGTTAATAATTTTATAATATTTTATTATATAGTTTTTATAATTAATTTTAAAGACATGACTAAACTTATATATATATATATATATATATATATATTATTGTATTTGAGTATATGACTTTTTTTAATTTAGAGTTAAATTTTAAGAATATTATTTCTTATATTTATGGTTATTAATTAATTATTGATATTTAATTAATTTTTTTGACACAAAATACAAAAAGTTATTATTTAAAAATAAATTATATTTTAAAATTATTTAATTATATTAAAAATTTATCATTTTAATACAAATTATTTGCATTTACAGAGTTAAATTAAAATAATTTCATCATATATATTCATATATATATATATATATATATATATTAAAACTATAAAAAATATTTTTAATTATTAAACTATATGTGTATTTATTTTAAAATAAAATACTTGTATATTGGACAAGCTACTAACTAACACTAGTTCTTAATTATTTTACACATTTAGCATAAGATGAATAAGTAATTATTACAGAATTCAAAATTAATTAGGCAAAATCATAGATCTCTCGGTAACTTACTTGGACATTAATTTATAAAATATATTTTATTTTCAATATCAAGGGTTAATAAACAAAATTAATAAATGGACAAAGTTAATTAATTAGAGAAACAAGAGTTGAAATTAGAAATTAGATAACAGTTATTTCATAAGACTAGGGAAAAATTTAAGGCTAATATGCTTATGAGTGGAAGACATTATGGGTTTTAGACTCTTTTTTTTTTACTCGGGGAATTAACAAGTAATTCGAAACTTTTCACTGTGAGATTCTCATCCCCTGCGACTTGTCTGAGAGTGTTGAGTTTTGCTGCAAATTATAACATCCAAAGTACAACAACAACATCATACAAAGAATCTTTATCACCATTATTTTTAACTAAGGAATCTGGAATGCCAATATTGCTCTAAGATTAAGGCACACACTAAAACTTATGCAAAAATGCACAGCTTCCGCTTTTCTGTCTGATGTTCTTTGGTTGCCAACTAAAGCTTAGAAGTAAAACAAACCCAAAACTCACAAACTTGCTAGTAGGACAACACTTAATTATTGTTTTGTTGTTTGGGATAAGAAAAATTTTCTAAATTAAAAAATTATGTTGAAGGAAGTTACATTTACGAAATTGTGAGGGTTAGAAAGGAGCCTAAAAATAGGTCTAAAGAAGTATTAGAAAGTTATCCAAAACCTTTTATTAAAAATGACACGCTATTTTAAAGGTTTTTGTCTCCTCGTTGATTTTCTTCTAAAATTGTTCGAAAAATAGGATTGACAAGAAAATATTCTAAGTCCACAAAACTGAAGGTTTTTTTGAGGAGTTTCCAAGTCACTGACACTAAAAACTGCTCGAAAAACAAGACTGACAAGAAAATATTCTAAATTCACAAAATTGATAGCTTTTTCGAGGAATTTTGAGAAGTTTCCAAGTCCTTGACACCCAAAAACTGCTCGAAAAATAGGAAATTGTCAAAAAATGTTCTAAGTCTACAAACCTGGTTGAACTTCAGTCCCTCCAGAATTGCTTGAAAAACAGGAAGTGGTCAGAAAATATTCTAAGTCTACAAACCTTGTTAAACTCCAGATTCCCTCCAGAATTGCTCGAAAAATAGGAAGTGGTCAGAAAATATTCTAAGACTGACAGTCTAGTTGAGCTCCATAATTGCTCGAAAAATAGAAATGCGCAAAGAAAATATTCTAAGTACACAAAATCAAGACAAGCTCTCAAAACTCCAGAATTGCTTGAAAAGAGAAGTCAAGGAGAAACTATTCTAAGGCCATAACACTAAATGAGCCTCTTAGATTTTTCTTAGAAATACTTGAAAGATAGAAAAACAAAAGTCTTGATAGGTCAAGTCATTGCAAAATCCAAAAGCGGTTAACGGCAGTCATCAACATTCACTACTACGCAAAGGAGATTGTAGACGATAGCAGTTACGAAAGAAGCCCTAACCAACAACACGATCAAAAGTAATCGTGGATAATGAGTATCAACAGTTGAAGGTAGTTATTAAGAAGTGCCCGCAAAAGGAGGAGAATGGTGGTGGTCTTCCTGACTATAAATACTCCAAAGCGCCATTTTACAAATGGATGACTTTTTGTACCCTGACACCACACCTAAAATTCTCTGTACGCTGAAACCCTGCACTGCGCCAGACACTAGCTACAAGGAGACTCACGGTGGCCGCTGTCCGTTGTTGTGAGGAGTTGTACGTTTACATTTACCTATTTTTACATTCTTGCACATTTATCTTTTTGCAGTTTATTTTCAGCTTCTTTGTTGGCTTTTGTTCTTTTTTCTGCAATTTGCTTTCTATTTAGCATATTTCTGTAAAAAACTTCTACGTTGTGATTCAGTTTTACATGTATCATATTCATTATTCTTACTAAAGTGTTTAATTTGTGACGCCTATTTTATTATTACGTTAACAACACACTTAAAAGAATTTAAAAAAGATCTAATCCAGTCTCCAAATTAATTTTTGAATTATTTATTTACAAACTGTCATTGTAAATATTTGTATAAAAAGTGTTATTCTTTTGTGATACGAGTGGGAGAGTTAATTTTTAAAAACCTAATAAGATCAATTAAACTACATTTTATCGTGAAAGATATAATTGAATGGATTTCAACCCAACAGCGCTGTAAGTTTAAGCAGAAATGGGATGCATTGTAATAGTTAAGTGACGAAATAGGAAAAGAAAAGTCTGACATGAAGAAGAAAATGGAACAATGAGTTTAAGACGAGGATGATGTGTTTGTATCTAAATCGTCCGTGAGTTGTTTTTTATAAGAATAAATGGTTAAGATTTTACAAACATGACCACACTGCAGTTTTTGCCAAAAGGAGAGGATCTCAATCCAAAAATAGGCTCTTTTTTTTTTAAATAATATTTTTTTAAAATAAATTATCAAATTATAATATTTTTAAAACTATTTTTTTAAAGTCACGTGTTATAAGTTTTGTCATGATTTTAACGAAAATTTTATTTTTAAATTTTAAAAAATAAAATTTACCACTAAAAATATAAAATTTATAATTTTTTTATTTTTAAAAATAAGTTTCGCTAAAAAAATATGAAACTTAAGTGTGTCAAATTATTATAATTTTATAATTAAAAAAATATTTATTTTAAAAATAAAAAATGTTTCGCAATGGTGAAATTTTACCCGTGTCAAACTAGAAGTTTTGCTTTGCAATGTCAATTTTTTTTCACATAGATTTGCCATCCATCTCGCAAATTTTTTTTATTTTTTAAATAAATATTTTTTAATTATAAAATTATAATAGTTTGACATGCATAAAAATTTTAAAAATTTTGTATTTTTTATAGTAAAATTTATTTTAAAAGAATAAAAAATTATAAATTTTATATTTTTAGTGACAATTTATTTTTTAAAATTTAAAAAATAATTTTTTTAATAATTATGACATAATTATAACACATGGCTAAAATTATTTCAGACAGATAAATAATTTTAAAAAAGTTATAATTTGATAATTTGTTTTTTTAAAACATTATTTAAATAAAAAAGCCCCAAAAATATCTGTTTGTTTAATCGTTGACCCTGAGCTCTGGGAATCTGAATTTTCATTTGTGTGTTACCAAACTGATAACAGAAGAAGAGAAAGAAAGAGTTGAGAAGCAGAGAGAGAGAGAGAGAGAGAGAGAGAGAGGGAGAGAGAGAGAGAGAGAGAGAGAGAGAGAGAGAGAGAGGGAGAGAGAGAGATGTCAAAGCCATGGCAATGGAGTTGGACGCTGTTCATCTTCTTCCATCTCTTTCAATTATCCGTAGCCATTGACTACGCGTGCAAACCACCGCACCACTCTTCATACTCATTCTGCGACCTCACTCTCCCCATTCACGCGCGAGCACGCGCTCTCGTTTCTCTTCTCACTCTCCACGAAAAGATCCAACTCCTCTCCGACAACGCTTCCTCCATTCCCCGCCTGGGAATCCCCTCTTACGAGTGGTGGTCCGAATCCCTCCACGGCGTCTCTCTCAATGGTCCCGGCGTCTCCTTCAACGGCACCGTTTCATCCGCCACAGACTTCCCCCAAGTCATCCTCTCCGCCGCTTCCTTCAACCGTTCTCTCTGGTTCCTCACCGCTTCCGCCATCGCCGTCGAGGCCCGGTCTATGTTCAACGTGGGCCAGGCCGGCCTCACCTTTTGGGCCCCCAATATCAACCTCTTCAGAGACCCCCGGTGGGGCCGTGGCCAAGAGACCCCCGGCGAGGACCCTATGCTTGCTTCTGCTTATGCTGTTGACTTTGTTAGAGGCCTTCAGGGTGTTCGCGCAATCCAAAACGCTGTCATTTACGATGATGTTGACGACGACGACGGTAATGCCCTTATGGTGTCTGCTTGTTGCAAACATTTCGCAGCTTATGATTTAGACATGTGGAAACAGTTCTCTAGGTATAACTTCAATGCTGTGGTGAGTGTTTTTAGAATATAAAACGTTGACGTTTCATATCTTGTGTTTTTCTAATTCGTGCATGATAAAATATCAGTAAAAAAATAAGTTTTTATAAGAAATTGTAGGATTTAATTACACCAATGCATTGATTTGTTTTTAGTTCTGCATTTTTTTTAATTGTCTTACTTATGTATAGATAAGTATTATCATGTGTAATGTTGCACGTGTTAGAAAAAAGTGATAATCGAGAATATAAAAGTGGTTGAATGCTTACTTTATTGAGTACATAAGATAATTGATAGGAAGGTGTTTTTAAATTGGTATGGTGTTAAGTGAGATTGGTTTTTTTGTTGGTTGTGTGTCTGTTGTAGGTATCGGAGCAGGATTTGGAAGACACTTATCAGCCGCCGTTTCGTGGCTGCATTCAGCAAGGGAAAGCAAGCTGCTTGATGTGCTCCTACAATGAGGTTAATGGGGTTCCTGCTTGTGCTAGTGAGGATCTCTTGAGACTGGCTAGAAACAAGTGGGGGTTTAAAGGGTAAGACTTTGAGGGACTTTGGAATTCATGTCATTGTGAAAATTTGAAATAAAAAAGAAAAGAAAAGAAAAGACAAGGATCTTTTGTTGATTATCAGGATTGGTGGTTTTGATTTGAGTATAGGTACATCACCTCAGACTGTGATGCTGTAGCTACGGTTTATGAGTATCAGAGGTATGCGGAATCCGAAGAGGATGCTGTTGCTGATGTTCTCAAAGCAGGTCCTTTTGTTTGTCTATTTAAACGAATGTTTTCTTTGCAGCAACTTTATATGAATTGGATTGTTTCCAAGATTTTTTCAATTCATCAGTTGATTTTTTAGGTGTGGATATTAATTGTGGAACCTTTATGCTTCGACATACTGAATCTGCTATTGAAAAAGCAAAGGTGAAAGAGGAAAATTTAGATAGAGCTCTTTTCAACCTTTTTTCTGTTCAACTGCGCCTTGGATTGTTTGATGGAGATCCCATAAAAGGCAAGTTTGGTAAATTGGGACCAAAGGACGTTTGCACCCTCGAACACAAAACACTGGCACTTGAAGCTGCAAGGCAGGGAATTGTATTGCTGAAAAATGAAAAGAAGTTCCTTCCCTTGAATAGGAATTTCGGTGCCTCCTTAGCTGTCATTGGCCCAATGGCAACTGTAACTAAATTAGGTGGTGGGTACTCAGGTATGATTTTCATATTGGAACATTGCAATTTTCCTATCTTCATTGATTGTTTTGTTTAATTTTGCTTGCACCGTACACCCTTGGTTAGGTTATCCATTCTTCGAAACCCTGCTCTCCAGTGTCAATGGTATATGTAGCCAGGATGTTCAAGCTGAAGTACTAAATATACAACTATTATGTTGTTTTTCCTGAAATTCAAAATCTATTTTCTTGCTATCTTGATTGTTTGATCAATTGAAATAGTAAATATATAATACATCGTATTCAGTGAGAAGGAAAAGTTTTCCATTGTAAATTATAGACCTATTTTATTGATTTCCAAATATCCCTGGAAAAACATTGATGATCACAGTGTATACATTGATGATCACAGTGTAAGGGACTGTTAGGAGTTTCTCAGTATCTTTGCTAATGACCTGTGAGTACAGACGCTTGTTCTCATATATGATTTCGTACTGAATAATGTAGGAATACCTTGCTCCTCAACAAGCTTATATGATGGACTTAGAGAGTTTGCAAAGACGATATCACATGCTCTTGGTTGCCATGATGTACCCTGTGATTCTGATGATGGTTTTGCTGAGGCTATTGATATAGCAAAACAAGCTGATTTTGTAGTTATAGTTGCTGGGCTTGATGCAACTCAAGAGACAGAGGATCATGATCGAGTTAGTCTTCTCTTGCCTGGTAAACAGATGGACCTGGTATCCTCTGTTGCTGCCGCTAGTAAAAGTCCAGTTATTTTAGTTCTTACTGGTGGAGGACCCCTTGATGTCTCTTTTGCTGAAAGAAATCAACAAATCGCAAGTATTCTTTGGGTGGGGTACCCTGGTGAAGCTGGTGGAAAAGCACTGGCTGAAATTATCTTTGGAGAGTTCAATCCAGGTAAGTATGGTTTATAAATGGATATGCTGCCATACAATGGCATCTATATATATTGTGAGCATTTGAAATTAGGATGAGGCTCTTTACACTGCTAGAGTCCTAGTTGTTAATTTACACTTTCCGCTAAACTACCTTCAATTGCATTTTTTCTAAATTATCCTTTACGTAAACGTGAATAGAGAAATAAAAATATTGCTGAGGTTTTGACTAAAATGAAAAGGCTATGTAATTGAGTGCGATTCTGGAAATTGCAATAAGTAGTAGTTCAGAGGAAGTATAAATAGACAATGAGGATTTTTTTTTAACTAGGTTAAGGCCTAATTAGAAACTAATTATTGACATAGGGTAGGTGAAAAATAATTTATTACTAGAGCGTAAATTTTGCCATGTGGCAATCCGTCCTAATTTTTTATATTTTTTTTATCTCAACATGTAAGACTCAAGTTCACTTAATTTATAAGGTGCCTCGTGGACTTGTGTCTTGAACAATAAAAATTGTGTAGCTTGGCATGTGACTGCATATTGTGGGAGGCGCAAGTCCCTGTTACATGTCCAATATGTGTAAAACAAATACCTGCGTGTGGGCCATGTGCCAAAACCTCATGAAAGTGTCTATGCAATGCCGTACTAGGTTCCACCTACCCTCAAACCTCCACCTCTGTCCCTCTCTCATGGCTCCCTCATTCCCTCCCTTTTTTTATGTAAGTCCTCCCCCTCTACCTCCCTCCCTCTCATGCACCTCATTCTAGCCTTATTCCAAGACCTCCAATTATTTTTTCCACTCTTTAAACACAAGTCAATTAATTGTTTTTGTCTATTAAATTAAAGAAAATTGCATAGGCCATAAGATCACAGTCAAAGGCAAAATGAGATCATTTAAATAATACATGGTGTTAGTTATAATTTGCTTAAGAGAAAGATAGCCAAATTAAATGTTTAATCCAATCAAATAATTTTTAACATGTCATACATTTCTGATATCTCCAAATAAGAACACTTATATTGCTCTAGAGATATTCAATGATGACGTTTAATGCATGATTAGTGCTTTTGAGCAATAGTACTGACAAATCATCAATGGATCCTTTCCTAATCACTTGGATCTCAGTTCTCATCTTCACTGCATGCTAAACAACCAGCCTTGTCCCCAAGGCTTAAAAAGAAAAGGCTTCTTCCTTATTCTCATCATCCACTTTAATAGCAGTCACCAACCTCAACTTATTATCCCTGCATTGGTGTAGAGGATGGAATTTCTCTCCACATAAAAAAGACAAACCTTTGGCTTTTATCTCTGTAAGTTCCTGATAAGTTAAATGTCGCAGTTCCTTATCTTTTCCACAGAATTTTCTTTGATCTCCCTCATTCTTCCGCCTTGTTTACACCAAAGCGGAAGCCAGATCTCTGTTTTGGAAGAATTTCTTTCTTACTAATTGAAATTCTCATTTTCTCCACTGATTTCGTCGCGCACAACCTCTATATCTCTGAGAGAAGCCTCTCTTCCATACACCCCATTCTCTCATCCATCTACACCAAATCATTTCACAATCATGTTACTTGTTCCTCCAATAAATCTACACAATCAAAAACTCTAGTCATTGTCAAATGATCAACTCGCTGGCCTCATGGATCTTCCTTGCTAATGATTCGATAGATCAGGCCAAAATGATAGAACACCAATTAATAAATTAATAAAACATATGGAACAAAAATCACACACAATGCAACAATACACTTGCTGTCTCAAAGACAGTCATTACGTATGAAATACTTGAATTTAAAATTTGCTTTGTCAAGTCTACAGCAGAGTTTTAACCATCAAAGTTGGTATTGATGCAGCTGGAAGGCTGCCAATGACTTGGTACCCTGAGGCATTTACTAATGTTCCCATGAATGACATGCGCATGCGAGCTGATCCTACACGTGATTATCCAGGAAGGACCTACCGATTTTATATTGGAAGTAGAGTATACGGATTTGGGCATGGTTTAAGTTATAGTGACTTTTCTTACAAGTTCTTATCAGCTCCAAGTAAAATTAGTTTGTCTAGAATCATCAAGGATGGTTCTAGAAAAAAACTGTTGTATGAGGTAGAGAAAGAGATTTATGGAGTTGATTATATTCAAGTTGATGAGTTGCAAAATTGCAACTCACTGAGTTTATCAGTGCATATTTCTGTGACAAACCTTGGTGATTTGGATGGAGGCCATGTTGTAATGTTGTTCTCTAGATGGTCAAAGGTTATAGAAGGCTCCCCGGAGACCCAACTAGTTGGATTCAGTCGTCTGCATACAATTTCTAACAAATCTACTGAAACAAGCATTTTAGTAGATCCTTGTGAACATTTCAGCTTTGCAGATAAGCAAGGAAAAAGGATATTGCCATTGGGCCTCCACACTTTGAGCGTAGGGGATGTAGAGCACATTGTTTCAATTGAAATTTATTGATTGCTTGTTAGATCTCAGTTGTGTAATTTATTGATGGGTTGACATTTTACTAAAAAGTTTAAGTATAGATATTATAAAATTCAAATGTCTTATTTTTGATAAAGAAGTGAAGAGAGAAGGTTCTATTTCCGGGTCATGGTCACTGGTCCCGGTGAATATTCTTACTAGAACTTATTAGTGATTATTTGGTTTTAGAAAACAAAACAAAATCACAGATTTGTGATTAAAAATAAAATAAAAATATTTTTTGAAATCAAAGAGTTCATAAATGAATGACTAATAAAGGATGTCATGAATCGAGCATGACACGTTATTCGTAACAGTTTCAATTTTGTATTAGGTTCTTTTTTAGGTATGACGAAGACATGTATTCTTTTTTTTCTCAAGGACATATTAAACACAAAAAGAAAAAAAAAGTAACAATGAATGAACCATCACATTCAATGTGTAGTATGAATGATATGATGCAAAGAAGAAACTAATAATATGATGTAGAAAGTAACAAATAAAGGAGTAAAGTAACTTAAAAATAACAAGAATTCAATAAGGTGTAACCAATAAGTGCAAATAAACTACGTAAAAAATGGAAACTAAGTTGGTAATAGTTATTTGTTTCGTTTAATTTTACAGTTAACATATAAAGGTTTATAATATGTAAAACTACCAATCTAAATTACAACAGCGTAGTCTTTCCTGAAACAGTTATGTTATTTGCACGCTAAAACTTTTACATTATTATTATTGATCAATAATTTCAATTACGACTCACCAAATATTTATTTGCACTTGTTCATTATTGTAGAGGTTACGAAAGGTCACGTAAACCCAACTTAGGGGTCCAGGCTTGAATCCTACTTTGAGTTTGGGGTGACAAATTCGGGTTTATTTAAGAAGTATATATTAAATGTCTTTTTTGTTTTTAATCTAATAAATGTTTAATTTTTCTTTTCTCCCCAAAATTGAAGTATGGTGAAGACCAACAATGCATGTGTTCTCTTGCATAGCCATGAGTGTAGTCTATGTATTGCACTAGTTAGCCTCTTTTTAATCTAATAAAAGGGAAGAATCTAACCCTAAACAATGGAGTAGTTGGAACTTTTCTTAACATCGATATTAATCAATTCTAATTAAATATCCCAGCTCTCATCATATGGTCAGTTATATATGTTTGTCTACCTCATTGAAGATTGTGGCTAGCAATTAATTGTTTATAAAGTAAGCAATTTCAAAGCCTAAAAGAAATTATGTAAGCGATTGGGTTTTGAGGAGTTGGTGACTCCAACTCCAACTCCAACAATATAATAAATTTATTTATGATAACTTTAACCGAAATTAAAAGAAAGAGGTAGAGTGAGAGAGAGTGCATTTGGGTAGCACCTTATTATCCCTATATCATTAGTTTAATAATAATAATTCCCTTAATTTCTGCCGAAGAAACTCGCGAATTGGTAATATGAATCCTAATACACCCAACATAACGGTAGCGGTGAGAATATGTTGAAGAATGTGATTATGTGAATAATGGAAACCCCTTTACTGATTATAATCGCCATTGTCTCTTGAGAGTTGAGATCTATCAGTACTGTATATATATTTTTAATTTATATGAATTTAATAGGAATATAATCGCATAATTTAATATAGCTTATATAACTACTAGAGAAAAACCAAATGCTTAGAATTCTATTTAGCACTTAGCTTGTTAAGGCAATTGCAAGATCATTGCTCAGCCCTACCGTGTAAAAATTACAAAAGAAATGCACTTTAAGTTGTTCTTTTTTGAATGGGGTTTTGATGTGCTTACTTTGCCAAACATCAACGATCACAATTTCAAATCTCGTCGTCATGCTATTTGGAAGTTTTCGTCACTAACAGTCAATAATCAAAGATCAGCATCTCAGCGGTGGAAAATTCAAGCGTCCTTTTCATTTGGCTTTGTGTATTTTTCTGGTATATTATTTTCAATGAGATGAAAAATGAAAATGAAGCGATTCTCATTGGCATAAAGGGATTTGAAATTTGCAATCCAATCTTTGTCAGCGCTGAAAATAATGCAAAAGAACAGAGAAGAAGGCTTCAATGTACATAAGACACCTAAACAAGTGGTGGTAACAACCCCTCAGTCTGCGGTATAAGGCTCTTTCAGGGGAGTAAACACCCAATTACTTGCTATTTCTTATGCTTTGCAATATACTCTTCCATCCATTTCAAAAAGGTTATTCTTAATTTTAGATTAATCCTTTTTACTGAGTATATGTTTTGATTTAAAATCTATAGTTTATATTAATTTGAATACATGTCTTAATTTACATTCAATAGTTTAAAATTATTCTTTTTTTAAATAAACAGCTCCAAAGAGAAATTGGAGCCCGGAATCATGGCCACAAACATGAGGTGTAATAAAGATGGATAATCAACAAAACAAATAACTTCTAGAAGAAGTAACCCTTCCACAGCCCCAAGCCTAGGATCCTTGTGCAATTTGTTCAACACCTAATGTGTATCATATGGCCCACTTGAAAAGAATCATTAATTTATTTTACTTAGAAGGATAATTTTTTTAGGGTTTTTTTTATTTACCAAAAGTAAGGAAATTTTTTTGACACCAAAAATGGATATTTTACAATTTTTTTTGAAAGGTGGTTTTACAATTTTTTTTTAGAACTTCATTCCTCACTCGTTATATTTATTAACTTAGGGGGATAATACATATATTAATAATATAATTAATATTTATATATTTATATGTTCAAATTAATTTTAATTTAATCATGACTTTCATTATTAATTTTTCTTATTTATGATAAGTGTATAAAATATTTATGGATTAAGTAAAAAATAATAATTAGTATTATATACAATTTTAAATAAATAAATAGATTTTTTTTAGAAATATAGACAAATAAAAAGTAAAAGGAATGTTACCTTATCAAACCATGTTTTAAAATTATTTAATATATTTTAGTAAATATGTTTGATCATTCTAAAAAATAAATATTAAATCATCTTCATATTTATAAAATATTATTATTTTTCTTTAATCGATCCCAAAAGAAAACATATCTTAAGTGTTATATCTTAGATATTTTTAGTATTATTTTATAAATTTAATATAAAATTTATCTTCATAACTAATTTTAATTAAAGAGTATATCTAAATATACTTAAGATAATATCTAATTTTTTTTCTCGTTAAAATACTAATTACTATAGTTTAATTTCACAAAAAAATATTGCTATATTTAAATTTTATTGAAGTATGTTTTAGAATAAAAAAAACTTGTTATTGAATATCTTTAAAAATTGTAGAAAAATAGGGATTAAAATTAATTTGTTTACGGACTGACATTAAAATTTTATGAAAATATAAAGATTAAAAATAAATTTAAGCCCAATTTTGCTATAAATAAAGATATTAATTATATTATTCAACCTATATATTATTTGGTGAGAGGATAAATTGAGAAACAGAAAGAGTAATAAACGAAGGAATTAGTAGAAAAAAATTAAAAATATTTAGTATTATTCTTCTGAAAAAAAAAGTGAAAAAATAGTAAATGTAGCAAGTGATGTAATAAGAAAAGGATAAATGAAAAGATATAAAATAGGTCTTTAGGTGGAAACTTAGAATAGTGGGAATGGTTGGAAGGATAGATCCAAACTAGGGAAGGTAAGGAAGGGGTTAGAGGTTTCTGCGTGAAGAAAACTGAGTCCCTTGTGCTTCGTACATATTACAACAACTGTGCAAAGATTGTGTTGTGCTGTGTTTCATATTTTAGAGTGACAAATATCTGTACTTTGTCCCACAAATGAGTGATCCCAAGTATGCTTATCCATACCCTGCTCAAGGTAACCAACCTTCTCTTCAATTTCATTATTTTCTTCTCTTCTCTTGTTACTTCATAACACATGTTAATGTTTCACTCTCATATGATCATAGTTACTAGACCTTGTTGATTATCAAACAATTGTTGAGGCCTTATGTTGATTTTCAACTACACCTTATTTAAATAAATAAAATAAGACCTTCTATCATATTGTACTCACTACTCAAAAGTTGATATGATATGGTAGATTGATGATGGAGAGTACTGTTCCCTTCCCTTTTGTGGGATAAAGATTTTTTTTTCTTTTTCCAAATTTGGTTTCTTTATCCATTTCTTTTTCCATGAATCATTTATTTTGTTGGCAGGGTACTATCAAGGTCCTCCTGTGATGGCACCACCACAATATGCTGCTCCACCACCCAGAAGAGAGGTTGGATTCATTGAAGGATGGTAAGTTCCCAACTTTTCATTCCTATTATGCTATGTAGGACAGCTGTTTGTTTTTCTTTTCTTTTTTCATTATCATAAGTAATAAAATAATAAATTTCTCAATTTTTTTTCTCAACTTCTATTAATTTGTGTAATTAACACAATTCTCCATTTTTCTTCCCTCAGTCTTGCAGCTTTGTGTTGTTGCTGCCTTATAGATGAGTGCTGCTGTGACCCTTCAATCATATTTATCAGCTGATGATATATGAAAGTTGTTGCAACTAGAAAAATAAAACAAAGAAGCTTCAAGAATATGCAGAGTGATGCTTCGAGTGGGCTTAGTTATTAGAATAAGTGTAATTGAACAGTTTTACTTTTTCTAGGGGTCATGCTTGTGTTTGATGAACCTGTTACCATTTTCCAACATGTTCTTGGTGTGGTTCTGCCTCTGCCACTGATTCTCTTAGTAATTTGATTTGTAATGTGGAATGGGAAAACAAAGAATTCTTGTGAATTAAATTGGGCCCCTCTGTTCCACAGTTATCTTTGTCTTGCGTCTCATCATTTTGTATTTTGAATTGGGGTTCGAATTTCGAAAATAACATCGCATACGTCAATGTGAATGATGCGACTTTATCCTTAGCTGTATGTGCACTTCGTAATAAACTAATGTTTCTGCGGGGTAGAATTTATTGGACCCCATCTCTTTGTAATTCCAACAATTAAACTTGTTTCTTTTTTCTTTATTTGAATTTCAATTTTAAATTATAAATTCTATTAATCACAGAGAATACTGTTTCCACAAATGAATAAAAATCAGTAAATTTTTAAAGAAGTATTTATGAAAATAAAAAAAGAGTATAAATAATTTGTTGCCTGATATGATAATTTGAATGAAAAATTTAAATTATGAGTGTACAAAGGAGGCTTCGAGAATGTGGACCATGATATGATTGTGGAAGAGTGTATTAATTAAGCTATTAGAGTTCAATATCCCATGGGCGTGGAATTGGCAATAAACCTGGACACGAGCTAGTTTCTCCAACTAGAATTTTATGCAAATTTGTAAAAGGTGTTTGGTTTGCATCTGCCCCACCTATATAGTGCTGCTGTCTTATTGTCCTGGTTCAGTGAATTATTTTCTTTTGTTCTAATAAAGGTTTAGTTAATACTGATAGTTATACAATAATTATTAACTTTTAATCTTTAAGATTAATATAAGGACATTAAAATAATAATTTTAATTAAAGAATATATATTTTTTAATAAATATTGTCACTTTTATTGGTTAAAAAACTCCTAATAATTAAAGTTAATACTTTTCTTAAAAAAACTTTTTTATGATGAGTAATTTTTTATTTTTTTTCTAATACTACGTATAATTCTAGCATCATTAGTCTTTTATAAAATTTAAGAATAAAAAGAAAGAAAACTCGTGTTAATTAATAAAATAAGAAATGTTGAAAAAAATGCTTTTTCTCAGTCTTTTTACCGTATTATTCATCGTTGTATCAAATAAATTATATTTTTGTTTTTATTAGTGATATTCATTAGTACAAATTCAACGTATACTTACAGAATTATTGATTACTTTTATTATTTTAATTTAATATATTTTTATTTTTTATTTTTGCTCTTAATAAGTTTTTTTTTAATGAATGCATGTAAAAGATATATTTTACTTGTGTCACAAATTAGTACATAACTCATTGAGCTTGAGCAACTTGTGAACCTACCTAAGGTTTGATTTACGTTTTTAAATATGTAAACAAGATTAATTAAAAATCATTAAAAAAATACCATTAACTAAGCGAAATATTAAGAGTCATGATCAAGGTAGGAAGTTGGCACCACTCACAATTGAAGTGTTTACAATATTCTCTTGTTAAATTTTGGGAAATAGCAAAATCACCAGCATTTTTGTTTATTTTCAAGTAGCGAAATTAGCTACCAAAATCTACAAGTCGATAACGAAGGAGAAAAACTTTGAAACACAAGTAGAATTTCTACTGCATGAAAATATCTTAATATCCTTACATATTCAGTGCATATGCATAAACTTAAGGAGCATAAATGCATAATTAAGGACACACACGGGAAATTAAAATGGATTATTACATATATTCAACTCTCTCCTCTTTATTTTTCTATTTTCTTTGAAGACATAAATGGGAGAGAAGCGAAACTGGGAGTGAGAAGCTCTCAGACACACGTTGATATATACAATGGTAACATGCATAATCATGCAACATGCTTCATGCAGCTACTGCTGCTTCTTTAGCATAGTTTGGTTCCTCACTCAAAAAGTGTTCAATGCTGCATTTACTATCAACAAGATCACCACCACATCCTCCACCGCACTCACTGCTCTTCTTCATGTTGTCATTTCCACACCCTCCGCCACAACCACCGCAGCTACCACTCTCCATCACACTTCCACACCCTCCTCCACAGCCTCCACCACAACCACCACCGCAACCACCACTCTTCACCATACTTCCACACCCTCCTGCACAGCCTCCACCACAACCACCGCAACCACCACTCTTCACAAAACTTCCACACCCTCGTCCACAGCCTGCACCGCAACCACCGCAACCACTACTCTTAATCATACTTCCACAGCCTCCGCCACAACCAGTACCACACCCCCCACAACCGCCACTTTTCACTGCATCTCCATTACAATTCAACTCCATTCCAGTCAAGACTGTCCTCATATTTTCCTCGTTCGGGACATTCACCTTCATATCTTTACTTTTAGCTATGATGCCTTCATATCCTTCCTTTTTCATTAAGTTAGAAGCAATAAAAGCCAGAATGATTCCAGGCAGCACCATCCATTTTTCCTTAGACTATTAAATTTTAGAAAAATAAGGAGGGAATAAAAACGCAGAAAACAAATTAATTAATATAAAACAAACAACACTATGTCTCTATAGAAAATGTTAAATATTAGTAGCAAGAAAGTAAGGTACCTTGACAAATCTAGATCTCAAGTCAAGCAATGCTACTGCTTTCCCATAAGGATCTACTGTGGAGAATTCAACTGCTGTTAAGAAGTCCATTTCATTTCCCCTTTTCCCATTGTGACTCAGTTCATATTCTAACTTTCTTCCGGGAAAAATTTTCACCTGTAAAACAAGTCACATGAATTTAATGTTAGAACTTTGAATCCACATCCCATTTTCCACATGTTCATCTTTAACAGCCTTAAGTCCAGTGCAGCTACTAGAGTTCCATGATATTGAAAAGATGTACTGGTCATTAGGTTTGCAACATCAAATGAAGGACCATTGGTTACTGGAGTGTAATCAAGATCCAAGATTCAAGAGAGCTCTTGGCATGACAAGATAATTTTAGAACTGAATAATTTAGAACCAATGCATACCGTCTTGGTACCCGTAAGCTCAAAAAGATGCCCATCATTTGTGCATTTGTTTGGAAGGTGAAACAACCAAAGATTCTCCAAAACAGACCATCCATTTTCCATAAACTCAGCAAGAGTGCGAGTTTCACCAGACTTCATGAGGCCAACAACCTCTTTTCCAGGATTTCCTGCGTTCTTTGCATTCTTCAAATCCCTAAAGTGTAATCAGAGATAGGAAAGACCACTATTGAGCTTAATTAATTAAGGAAGATTCATGACAAGTGGAAGCAATTCTAGATAATATATAGAAGATAGACTATGTAGTATACTAGTATTCAAACATGTATGGCAAACATCAAACAGAATCAGATCTTTGTTCCATGAATTATAAGGCAGCTATATGGAAAAGTTTGCTACAGGCAGATAATTCAGCTCGATGCAACAGAAATCTCAAGTGCTCTTTGTATAAATATCTTCTCTCTCTTCTGTAGGTATATATCCATTGTATTTGTAACATTTGATATTTATATGAGAGAATGAATTTGTGCTCAATGGCCTCATGAATTGATGATCTCATTTTGACACAACTTGTAAGCATAATTATGATTGAAGGTTAAAAGTTGTATTGAAAAGGGAATCAAGAAACTGAGACCTATATCAATTGGAATTAAACATCGCTCACCTGTTTATTAGTTATTACATACTAAGATACACAGAATGGTGAACAATTGAAGTTGGCTTTCAATTTACACATTAACAAGCTTTTCAGATTGATCAACACATTGATAATAAAGGAATTAGATGCCAGCAAGCACTTGAGTCTTGACAGTTGGAACATTATTCAAATGCAACTAAAACAAGTTGATATTTCTAAGACAGTAAACAAGTAGCAACAGAAATCACGTTTGAAGCAGTAGATTACACACATGAATAACTCAGAGATCAGTCCCCAACATGACCACAGGAAAATGATGTGCATAGAGTGCAGGGAGTTTCTATTTAAAATTTGGCATAAAGTGTATAGACTATACCTCATTTGAAGGCTGATGATTCTGGTGCCACTTTCATCTGTGACATGTGTCCAGCTCTTGGCATGTTGAGGCTTAACAGGAAGGTTGAAGAGACATGTAATTTTGGAAAATGGACGAGATTGAGTCATTTCGAGTGTGTATGGGGCAGGAATTGGGACAGTAAATGAGATGGCTACTCGTAGCAGGATTGGCTTTGAGCTCATAGTACCAGAACTTGGCACCAACTCCAACCATTTCTCAAAATAGAGTTTTGAAACTGGGTCAAGATAGTCTTTCATAGAGAAAGAAGCAGAACCAAGCGTCTTTGTTGACTTCCTTATTGATAACTTGGAAGAAGAAGAGGACATGAGTTCAAAAATCAGCTCCCCTGTAGGTTCACACTGGAAAGATGCAACTTGTTTCTCTTTAGACTCTGACAAAATACTCAGTCTCCTTTTAGCATCAAAGAATAGATCAGGCTGTGATTTTGAAAATAAAACAAATAGATCTCCTTCATGTCCCTCTGGCAAGTTTTTAACCCCAACAAACTCCAAAAGAACCTGGTTGGATGCAAGAAGCAATCACAAATACTCATAAATGGAAGCTGTTTCAGTGATAGTAAAAAGATCCTCAAAATGAAAAAATATTGCCATTACTATCCACAGATTTTTTTTCCCAGTTGCTGAATTGCATCTTTGCTATCTTTAACAACTACAGTTCCATGTCAAAGCAGATAAACATTTTGAGAGAGAGAAATTGTAGGAGGCATTAATATAACACAATTAGGCTCTCCTTTTCTGTATTTATATACACAAGAAGAACTAGTTATATTTTGTAGCAGCGCATAGATCAGTTCATTATCCTAATAGTCCTCCTAAAGCTGGAGCATAGATAACATGCCCAGCTTGCTGCTTACGAAATCTTAACTCTGTTAGTGCCTTTATAAACAAACGTTCCAACTTTCCTAGATTCAAACAATTTAAGTTCTTGTTATGATGAAAAGCTTTGCAAGCCACCCACTATTCTAGGGATCTGAAAGGAAACATTTGCACTACCGATGATCCTGTGAAACAACTTAGTTAATACTTATCATATGAGGCATGGACTTGGTATTTGGATATTCTTTTACATGACTCGACAAATATTGGATGGACTTATTAATACTTAATACATGTATGCACATAATTCAGAACTAGAGCTTAAAACATGTAACATATAGCACATAAGAGGATATCTTAAAGTACCTCAACAACTTTCCGTTCTTGTAGCAAAATTTCTTGTAGGTGCTCATTGGAAGAAACAACCTTCTTGCAAATCATGCTAGAAGAAAAAGGGTTACTTGTGATAGGAGATGGTGCATTACCCCTATACATTGCTCCAGCCTTCCAATATCCTGTACCAAATGTGTCTTTCCACTGTTTGGTGGTTCCAGAAAAACCAACATCCAGTTTCTTTCCTTTAGTTCTGTCTGAGTCTGTATCATCGTGTTCCAAAACTTTTCCAAGTGCTTCATTCAGGTCTTTACAATATGAAATCGGATGTAACTGGTGAGAGTGCCAGATTAGGTCAATGTCATATGTCGGAACACAAAAGAATTTTATACCCTTCTCCTTGTTTCTCTTGATAAGATACAAAAAGCCTTTATATCTGGCCACAGCTTCCTTGATAAAGAGATCATTTTTCATGTGGGATCTTGATACCTATCCCAAAGACAATGGACATAAAATCCATTTAGAATATACAGCATCATGTACTACCCATGCACAAGAAAGACCATTGGTAAATGAATTTCACAAACACAACTAAACCAACCATTGGTAAATGAATTTCACAAACACAACTAAACCAAACAGATACATAACTGAACAGTGTACTGATACATCACAATGTATTAATGTCATTTGGAGATGCTATCATACGATTAAGGATGTTAAGAATTACATTTTCTGAACTTAAGATTTTTGAAAACAAAGTATATTGAAACTACACGGATCTATTGGCATCTTGCAAAATATAGCCAATCTCAAAGTGATAAAATCAAAGATGAGTGATATTAAAAAACTTAAACCATGATAACATTCAAATCATGGCTTTGGCAAACAGAGATAGAGGTTACAAAGACTAGCACTAGCCCAGTAACTTAAATTAATTCTGTTAGAATATCAAGCATAGAGTATATCAAACATTAACTGCATTGGTTGTGCAATGTGAAATAGGACAACTGAACAAACATTAACTCTCTTCTACCTGGTAGAAGAACGGACTCTGCCTCTTAGCAGCTGAAATCAGATCATATTTGGTGTATTTTTCAAGCTTGGCAAATCTTTCAGAGATATCCTCTGGAAAAACACTAATCAAATCAGCATGGTAGGGTTCATCAGGATACAGTTTATTCCAGATTTCTTCAGTTTGCTTGACACAAATTCCTTCAACAGTAGAGACAACATCAAAGTTGTCAAGTATCCGTCCATAAAGTTCTTCACAGTCAGATATGTACCTTACCTGCGTAATAGAATGGAACCAAATTTTATTACTAGTAACTCAACCCCATCAAACAAACAGTATTGCCAATAATCATGAAAATATAAATTTTCTGGTCTGAAGCATACCGGGTTAAGCCTGTGACAGTGCCAAACCCATTCACAGTCAAGAGGAACTACCAAAGGGCCTTCAAAAATCTGAGACTCAGAATGTTTGGCAAGCAAAGGAAGCCAACAAGCATTATACCTGATTACACACTTTGTTGTAAAACCCGCAAAAGAAACTAAGATTGATTTTCTTTTTAATAGATATAAGAAGAGAAAATTCATTACACCTACATCACATTAACTACACTAAAAAGTGCAGATAGATAGAAGATATGAAACTTCATAAACTACATGGGACAAAAAACATGATATTTCTCTGCAATGATGAAGCTAATCTGGTGTTTCGTCCTGATAACTGATATAGATGATTTCGCTTTATTATAATCCATAATACAGGAATGTAAAGAGATCCTTCCTTTTAAAACCGTTTATAAATTCTTGACTCGAATTTTCATGAAACAAAACTAAAATATTGTTCTTTGTAACTATTTTCAAGCATGAAAAGCTATCTGCATCAAATACTTGAAATACTTCATAGTATAGTCATTGAATATTCACCTATAGATAGCCCTCTCAAGGGCAAGACCATCATAGAGTTGACGGTTCCTATCAACAGCAGCAAGAAACTGAAGCTGCTTTTTTGCCACAGCTACAAGGTCAACACTCATTCCAATCTTCTGGGCTTCATTCCACTCCATTTCTTGTTGTGGTTCCATCTCTCAATTTAACCTCAAAAACTGCAATCTTCCAGAAACATTTTGGTGTAAGTTAAAGTGCCTAACCTTAGGCATGTTTGTCTCAATTTTTACAGTCAAAATGGAAAATTCATCCATGAGAAAAATACTTCACAAAAATCTTGGTAGATCATTTTTTTAATTTCACGTTCTCCACATCTATATGAAGGAATCTTATCAGAAATATAAAAAGTATTATATTTAAAGCAATGTCTACAAGAACACACACAGTCAACCAGAAAAATTGAAGAGAAAAAAAGGGAAAATTTGAGATCCTTTGATCATTGAGAAGCCCAGAACAAGAAAATAGACATTGAGATCATCCACAACATATACCAATACAAAAGTCGTATGTATCAAAATCACAGGAAGAGAAGGGAAAAAAAGGCACTTGGGATTACGAGTTACCCAGAAACTGAGGCAAAGAGGCTGCAACAGGGAACTGCTCAAAAGGAGGATCTGTAACAGAAACAAGCTTATGTTACGTTATGTACTTCTCTGTTTCTCTGACATTGAAATAAGCATCTTAACATAGAACTAGTGTCTTACATAAGTTCTATATACACTTGTACTGCAACTGAAACTAGTACCAAAATGCACGTCTGATCTAATTAAATGAAGAGTAGTACACCCAACTACTCTATCCACAATATGTCTTGTACCTCAATGCAATAATTTTTGTTTTCTAAGATAACAGATATGGAAATATATCGGCTAATCGTTGATTAAAAAAATTATCATTATTTTCCTTTCATTGTCACACAGGAAATATTGGATTTTAGCCAAATGATTTATTTTTTCGATATTTAATCGTACTTTTAGTTTTCATATTTTAATCTATTTATAACATTTTTAATTACTGATATTTAATCTTTCGTTTCATAATTATTTAAATTAAGCTGGCTTATATAAATTAATAAAGAAAAACTAAAACTAGTCGCTGGTCGGGTTTCGAGGGCAATTCATTTGCATAAGGTAACTTATTTTCATGAGAAATGGTAAAAAGAATACAATATTTTTCTTTGAGATAGGCGTGTTTGATAAAATTAGTAGATAAAGTATTAAAAGATGAAAAATGAAATCTGAAAAGTTAATTAATTGAATTGAAAATATTTAGTAAAATTAGTTATTAAACTACTTGACAAATGTAAAATGATAAATAAAAACATTTTATTTAAGTTTATCAAAATTTAAAATTTAACAATTATATTTTCAATAAATATAATTATCTATCATTTGTAAATTAGGATAATCAGTTTTAAATTTTATTTTTACTTATAAATATTTTATTATAAAATAAGATTTAATGACTTTGTGAAATTCTTCTTAAGACATTAACAATTTATTATTTTCTAAAATAATGAATATTGTGACATTTATTTTTTTATTTTTATTATTTGTCACATATTTTATCCTTTTTAATGTAACATAAGTAAAGAAAATAGTTTAAAAAATTAAATATCTGAAAAAATCACTTTAGAATAATAAAGACAAAGATAACAAAATATCTATTGCTTAGTAGTTGAAAAATAAAAAAAACACTACTAGCTATCAATTTCAATTACCAAACAATGTTATTTTTATTAAATAAATTTTTCAGCTAGTAAAATAAACTTTTAGCTAATTGAAATGTTTTACCAAACACAATCAATGTAAAAAAAAAATTTGAGAAGTGTGAGCAATATATATTTTTTAACATATTTTTAATCATTAAGTAAAATTTATGGAAACTATTAAATTTGGATGAGAAAGAGGAGGAATCGTTTAATTTTTGTAATTTTCAATAAAATATAACCTATAATTAAGAATGTATTAAAAAGCGTGTTGCTAACGTCCTTCAAAAATTTGTACACAATAATTGAATAATTAATTCTCATATCAATAAAAATAATTTATTTATGTAATAATTAAAATAAAAATTATATCAACTACGTAAATGAGGTAAGATGTTGGGGCCTATTTGGTTTATAATTAAAAATAATAATTCTCATGCTGTTTAATAAAAAAAAATAAACCTTTTTTAATAAAAGTTTATGGTTAAGATTAACTTTGACACATATTTTAATTATGCATAGTAATTTATAATTAATTTTATTAAAATTAGTTCTATTCAGCTTAAAATAAACAACTCTATAATTCACTAAAGTATATCTTAGTATACTTGGGCTATCCTAAGTCCCTATCCCTCTTGCTATCCTTGACGATCTAATCTTTTTTATATCTTATATTTTTTACAACTTAATAGATATTTATGGTTAATACCCACGCTGATAATAAGACACGAATAACGACAAAAGAAAAAAAGATAATACAACACATGAACATGATATGCTTTCATCCACAAGACAACCGTAGTTATTTTTTGAAAAAAAAAAAAACTAAACTAATTGTGTTAATATCATAGCTAATGAACCTGATCTTTTCACCATTATAGGCTTTACTCATAGAATGAGAGGTTTTGGTAACTTGCAACTCTTCAGTAAAGTCAGGGACATTGTTTCCTGGTTCATTAAAATATTTTAAAAAAGGACAAGCATGAGGTTGTCATCACGAAACTTGGCCATGTCCAATGGTAACGTTGAGTTCTATATTTATGTCGGAAAACGACCATGATCAGATAAATAGAGATATAGAAATATAATCAGAAAATGACAAGGCCCAATAATACGTTAAAGGGCATGGTTGAAGCTTGATGCTTCACGTTACTGCTGAGTCATGCAATGATAGCCGCTGAGTTGATCCCGTGACAAGATTTTCATTTCGGTTTTCCTTCACTATCTGGCTGAAAAGAATAAATGGCGGATTATAAAACTCACAAGTCAATTGTGGCCCCCAAATAAAACTAGTAAATGATAACTTGTAAATCATGACATATAGTCAATGAGTGCTAACCCGTTATGTGCATAGACTAATGACTTTTTATCAACCAATGTCCTATTACCCAACATCTTGTGTTTGGTTTAATTTTTTAAGAAATTTTCCAGAAGAAAAATGGAGGGTTGTTTATATATAGAGAGAACTACTCACTTCCTACTGATATTGATTCTATTCTAAGTTACACCTCAAAATGGTGTTGTCACTTGTCATCCACCTTGCTCTGGTGGATACTTTATAGTTTACACCTATAAGTGCAATCCTCAACTTTGCAATGAAAACCTGGTGAACTAATACACTGTAGTTTACATATCTTTGGAAGGGTAGTTGTAACTTCATTCACTTTGGTCACATTTAGTTGTCTTCTCTCCACTTCAACCCTTAAAACACTTCTGATTTAGAGTCATCTTCCGTTTCAGATTTCTGAGTTGTGTCTTTTCCTATATATTCGTGTTCAATAGTATCTTTGAGGATAAACAGCCTCTGAATTACTATAGGATCAGTCATCTGCCTGGCTTCTCTGAGATCTGTTTCTTCCTTGTTCAGATGATATGCATCAAGCATGATCTTAATCCACTTGTGCAGCTCCTTTGGGGTACTGCTTAATCACATAAAATGAAAGGAATGTATGACTAACCACAAAAAAGTATTTATTTTATTTTAGAATGAACCAGTAGGAAATTCTCTCACGTGTATAAAGCATTAGGGTCCTTGGCTTCGTGTTCGTCAGCAGGGGAGAAAGCCCTTGCCAACGCAGAAAATCGCTCCTCAGGATCTATTATATTCAACAAATGCTTGAGTAGCTTTATTTCTTTTGGAGTAATACTCCTAAGGCTGCTCTTTGTGGCCTTGTACAACTGGTACATTATATCTTTCACCTGCACAATATAAAACTGGGTGACGCAAAATGCAATCGAGTCTAGTCACAAAAGGGTAAAAAAGAAACCCCTGCTACACCCAATGATATGGCTTCCTTATTTGTGATTTTGGGTATCTAGACCACTGATTATCATAATAATAATAATAATAATAATAATAATGAAATAGCATGACCATATCCATCCAACAGAAGCTAATGATGTGAAGATGATAGTCAGTTAGCATTTAGCAAGAAACCGTGGCATTGTTTTCTAGTGCATCTTGTTTTTCCATGCCATTTGATTAGGAAATCTGTTGCATCAACATAAAGGGGTGCAGAACAAGTCTGACTATTTCATAATGCATTTAACCTGTCTAGCTACCTAGATGGCTAGTTGTATGCAATCAAAATCTTCACGGAATGATCTTTACAAAAAGAGGGGTATGTGATTTGAAAATTGAAAGTCTTTCTAAATCTGCAATATAACATCAACCAACAATTTCATTCAAGTCCTGTATGTTAAAACTTGAAAAATAAGAATGAGCAGCCAAGACCATCTTAAAATAAGCTGAACATGCAGATAGCACCAAAAAGAGGAATTGTAGATATGCAAACATACACCCATAAGAGGAACAAATTCTACTTGGTTTTAAGTTTTATAAAACCTTATTATATTGGCTGGGCACAATTAGAAGCATCTGTTGGTCTATCTTCAAAGAGGGTGGAAGAACATTAACAAAACCACAGAGCATCATATTTCAACTTCATACCTCATTCTTCGTTGTGGTAGATTCTTTTGCTTTAGCCCAAGCACTGCTTATCAACAATATCAATGAAGAATCAAGTTCCTTTGCCTTTGCCAGGCTTTTGATCTTCTGACAAGCAACATCAATAGAAAGAGAATTGAGGATATCATCAAATTTAGCCTGAGCAGCATCTAATGTCTCAATATTTTCTAGAGTATTATCATATGCACTGACAGCTGACAAGCATCTACTCCCCAGCCTGGAAATCCCTGTTCAACAAATACACCAATGCCAAACATAAGAAACATCCAACATAGGAGACAAGATCATAAGTATTAACTTTTTTCTGGGTGCCAGAGGGGAGGGGGGGGGGGTTCATTAAGAAAATTTTATACGTGAGACTAAGAATAAACCATCAAAGCTTAATTCTACAAGTTTTTCACCTCACCAGGCATATTTTAAACATTCAATATCTTCTTCCTTTATAAAAGAAATCTAATTTTCCATCTTATTTTAAGAAAAATTTAAAGAATCAATAGTGCAATTTTATTGTGATCATTTTTTTTTTCTAATTACAAGTTTCAACTATAAACATTCTTAACTATCAAATTTTATCTCATTCTTTCTGATGATTACTTGCTTTAGAATCAATAATCATTGAGACCAGAAAGCTCATAATCAAACAATGCTTTTGCACTCCTATATAATTACCATCACGATCCTCCAAGCTGTTATATGTATCTGCAATAAGAGAGAGGTAGCGGAAGAATTCTCCTGTAAAGTCTTTACGCCTCCGTGCAACAATGGCATTAATGTCAGTTGGACTATCTTGAATTTCTTTGAGAAGTTCATAGTGTCCTTCCATTTCATCATCAATCTGCAATGCTTACTCCTGATCAAACAAACCGAGGAAGAAGCTCTAAAACCATGCAAGTGCCTAGATATGAAAGTAAATTGGTTTGGGCTTTCTAACAACAGTAACTAATTAACAACAACAAAAATAATGTTATCTTATTATTAGTTTAGACAGAACCCGAAGGATAATTAATGTATGATTACCATTTCTACAAAACAAAATCTAGATTAGTTTTTGTTTTATACATTCTGAGCGGATAAAGGTCTAACACAACAGTTTTAAAAAAAAGGTTTCGTCACCTTTTCCAACTCTCATTCATCAATAGAAGAATCTATTTCCTAAAAGCATTGCATAGGGGCATGGTTGTTAACATCGTAAGAAACATAGAGTAATACCTTCTTCATCTTTCTCTCCAATGAAATAAATTTTTCCTTCATAATAGGGTCATTCTGCAATTCTGCTCTTCTTAGGCACCTACTGTAGAATCTATCCCTGTATTTTTTCCACTCCTCCCTAAATACCAGGTAACTCCTCCATTCCTTGGATTTGGTTTTCTCATTCAGAAAGAAATCTATCATTTTGTCACAAAATTGAGTCATAGTGTAACCCTTTGCAATTTCAATCTCTTCTTGCTCCTCCACTTGAACATTGAAAGCACTGCTAGTCTGTGGACCTAAAAGGAAATTCACTTGTTAGTGAAACACAAAAAAATTACTCAGAAAAAACATCAGAAACAAGATAGGATAAAGATGTCCAATAAAAGGAAAAAATATATAAAGATGCTCACTCTTGTTTGCTATTGTTAGCACAGCAGGAAAGAAAAAATCAGCGGCATTCTAATATTTAACACTGTCAACAATTAGTAAACTAGAGTAAAACAAATTCAGACAACTAAAATAAAATAGAAAAGAAAAAAAAAGCAGATGGAACATGTCACTGTAATCTATAGTGTGAATTTTGCAGTTCTGCTCTCCCGTTCCTATTATATAGCTACCCAACCCTATTGACGCCCTTATCACTTCAAATAAAGACCAAGAAACTTTTTTCATAAACCCATGTTCAGAATATAAAAAATACAGCATATTATAAAATAAACAATGGGGAACAAAGTGGGAAAATGATACTCACTGGGCAGAGAGCTGCATATAAGAATGTGGGGTTTGAAAATCTGAGCAACAAGTTTTGGTCTTTGGTTTTGGAAGCACTTTAAGGTAGAATAGGAGGAAGGAGTTATGGGGTAGCTTTGGAAGCGATTGTTATTGAAAGGGATGAAGGTGTTGGTAGTCTTGAAGGTTGAGGTCCATACCTTGTACCCCTTCATGTTCATTTTTAAGGTTGTTCCTTCAGCAAGAACACTAATGTAAGCGCCCACACTACACACTCTGAACTCTTCAGAGGACAACAAAGCCGAGCCCTCCCCAATCTTTATCATATATCTTATCCGGTTCATGAAACAAGGTCTCGGTATAATATCCTTTCCCCTGTTTAAATTAAATTAAAAAATAAAAGGAAAGATTATTTTTTAATTAAACAAAAAAAATTGTTATCTGCGTAGTTTTATCCAAAAAATATTTAGTTATGAATATTTTTAACAAAGTGGTGATGCTTGTATCTTTGGAAAATATAATCCACGAATAATTTAGTATGATTTCTCTAAAAAATGGATTAGTTTTTCATAAATAGTACTTGAAATTATTAAACATAGTCAATAAAAAATATTATGTTTAGGTGGTCTATTTTTTATTTTAAAAATTCAACTTTATGAGAGATTTTTGATAAAAAAAATTTATTTGTTTAAAATTAAGCACTTTATAAACATGCACTTATATTATTTTAAAAAAATATTATTCATACGTTCGAATACAATTTTTAAAATTATTTTCTATTATTAGTTAAAATTTATTAAAATTATATTATTTTTTTAAAAATTTTGTATTATTATTTATTTTTTAATTAATTTTAATAAAAAATTGTATTTAAAAAATGTATATCTAACGATAAAAATATTATATAAGTGACTGTTTTTAAAATTCAAATAGTTTTCATTTCTGGCTTTTACATGCTTTCATAAGAGTAAAATATAAATAGCAATTACTTTCTTATTATCAATTCCTTCATCCAGCAACCATTAACGATGTTTTATTGGAGTTCGCTAAACTGATTGTGTGGATATAAAAAATAATAATGAATTATTTTATCTTAAATTGAATGCTTTTAAAATTAAAATGATGATTAAACCAATGGAGAGATCAATTTAAAATTCAGTTATGGTTAATATAACTATTGGAATTTTCCTAAGCTATTAACACTTCGTTTACAAAAGAAAATAAAATAAAAAATGTGTAAACTTTTTAAGTTATCTAATTAAAAAAAGAAAAAGAAAATGCAATCACGTTGAATGACATCTAAATGCTTGCAATACAACAAAAATATAATTGAATATGGACATATTTATCGGTTACCCTTTTTTTTATCTTTTATATTTTATTGACTAATTAGTAGAGTTATTATTATTATTATTATTATTATTATTATTAAAAAGACCTGCCACTAATTTTTTTTCTCGTTCTATTTCTCTTGCTCATTCTAAAGAAAATTTAATTTATTTTGCATTTTTTCTGGTTTTTTTAATATTTTTCTAACATTTATATACTTTTAAATAGAAAGTAAATAAATAATGCTAAGTTTAATTTTATGATTTGTGTTTGATTTACACCCAAATTTCTGATTTAATATGCAATTAAGGGTTTAGGAGGCATTTAGGAAAAAAAATATAAAAAATTTATGAAAAAAGCTTATACTTTTATAATTTTTAGACATGTTTTGATATATTTTTTTTTAATTTTTAGATATGTTTTATTATTTTTATAATTTATAAATATAAATTTTTAAATTTTATATTCAAAATTAGGGTATAAACTTTCATTTAAAATTAAAAAAGCTTACAAAATTGTAAAAAAAAAATACTTAAAAAGTTTATTTAATGAAGATATAAAATGATAAATATATTAGCAAGAGAGAAGTAATAGGTTTAAATGTAACTTTAGTTTTTTTAATTTCAATTATTCATATTTAGTCTGTTTAAATTTTTTAATTATTTAAATTAATTTTTTCCTTTTAAATTCTATTTAATAATTAATACAAACACAATCACTATGTGACGTATCATTAGATTAGGTAAATTATATATATAAATTAAAATAATTTTATTAGAATATAAGATTTGAATTTTAAATCTATTTTTTATTAGATTCAAATTAGTTTAATTTATTTAAGTATAAAATACAAGTTTAACTTAAGTTAAGATTTTTATGTTAAGACTCAATATAAAGAAAAGATTATTTTTAATATTAAATATTTATTTAACATAATTATATTGACTAAGACTCAACACACAACAGATTAAACTGAAATAATATCTACTAGATAATTCATGTGATGGATAGTCAGTTATTTCCTTTTTTCGAAGATATAAATATCCTATGTATGATTAATTTAATTAAACAAATTTCATTAACACTCATTAAGTAAATGTAGAATGTATTAGCAAAAAAATAAATAAATGTAGAATGTGTGATAAAAAGAGAAAAATAAAATAAATAATGTAATAAAAAAAAGTAAATATAAAATATAAAAAGTCATTTAACGGAATACGATAACAACTATAAATACTTCACAATTAATTATCTTATCTTTTTACCTTTGGATTCTTTCTTTTAACTTTGTACCTTTCTCTTTATCTTTACAATTTTTTTATTTTTTTTTATTTTAGTTCTAACGTTCTTTTAATCATCACATCATTGATCTCTTTGTATATTCATTCCATATTTGGCTGGTAGAGGCAACTTGCCTACTTTAAATGGAAAGTCGATATTGCACAGAGAAATGGGAGTTTTATTTAATTAGTATCCTATGATCGTATAATTGAGAAATATAATAGTTTTCTTTCTTCTGATATCATTACCAAGTTTAATTCGTCTTTGTGTTTTGGTCTGACTGAAAGCAGAAATTTTTTTTTGGGCCAAATTATTATCAATTCTCTTCTTCAAATTTTTCATTGTAATTTTTCTTTTTTACTTTTACTTATCACCTTAAACTAAGCTTTATGCTGGAAGATAATGCTACCATCGGTTTGTTGTGATGTATATTTCATAATTGAAAGCTCATTTAAATGTGTAAATAAATTAAATTAATCGTAATTTATTTAAACTCAATTTGTTAAATTAAATACTTGCTCAAATTTAATAATTTATTTTACTGAAAAAAAATCAAGTTAATTTAAATTCAATAATATAAACGAATTTTTATATTTTATAGTTGGTATGTGTAATGATAAAAAAAAATGTTAAATTTCTTATAAGAATTCGTAATTCTATATAAATGTTATGGTTACCTAATTTTCATGTTTATGGATTCTTTTATTTCTTTTCTTATGTTATCTTTTATCTTTTATTTATCTTATAAAATAATTTTTTTTATTAAATATTGAATTAATAAATAGTTATACTTAAAGAAGAGGTTTCATTAAAAAAAAAAAGAACATTTAAAATAAAAATAAGGTTAAACAAAATAAGTTAATTTCTATCCAATTTTAAGTAAATTAAGCCTAAATTTTAAATTTAACTTATTTAAATACACAAATTAAGTATTATTTATTCTGTAAACCCTTCGAATACCAAATTTGCGATTCGATTTATTTACATTATGTACACTTGTCGTCTTCATCATGTCAATTTTAATAAAGGTATATTTGAAAGTTGTATTCTAGAAAAAGAAAGAGGAAAAGATCATAAATATATTTTTTAAATTTAAAGATTATTTAATACTTATAACAATAAATAAAATATTAACATATTAAATCTATACAATCTATTAATTTGTGGCTTATATTTTAAAAATTATAAAATTGAAAAATATCAAATAAAAATAAAATTTACTATTTTCTCTTGATGCTAAAAACTACTCTTTTCTCAGTTCCTCTTCAAAATCTAACTCCAATAAACACCCCGAAATTGATAAAGAAAGTTTCAGACTATTACAGTAAATCACCTTATATCATGGGGACTTTAGTCTTTCACTTTTACATGTGACTCGTGACAACAAAAGGTGTAAAATTACCAAATTTAAAACAAAATTATTTAATACTAGGAAAAGACTAGTAAGTAAACCAACGGGCAACGCCTATTGATTTTTTTCTTTCTAAATTACAATCTGAGCAAAATTACTAGGAATCAATTTCGAAACCATAAATTAAATTAGAACATTTTGCAAAGGAAAAAGAAATCTAACAAAAAACATCTCTTCAACATTTGTTCAACAGCTAATGGTAACTTCGAAAGGAACATGAATGAGGATCTTATGCCGAATGCAGAAGCATAACGGCTCAATAACCATTGGTGAAAAAGATGTTATATATATATATATATCATCATCATCATCAGTAAAACTTATAGGTTGACATTTTGTAATATAAAGTGAGTGAAAAAGAAAGAAAACACTGGAGATGTAATTTGCCTTTGGTAGAAAAAAGAAACGAAAAGTAAAAAAGAGAGGGTAAGAAATATTATAAAATAAATAATAGTGTAAAAATAATAGGAGTTGTATGATCTGTTTCACTTTTCCAATAAATTAAATCTTATTGCATTGTTAAATAGCAATTAATATATCAAGTATCCAAAACAGAAAGTAACAAAAGTTTTTTAATAGTTGTTTTATAAAATTGGTAAATCCGTTGCGTGTTACACACAATAATGAAACATATAAATCCAAAACAGTATGGTTAATAGCCAGGCTTTCATTACCAAATTATATACATAATGCATGCTTTTAAAGTCTACAGGAATATAATCAACTAAATGATGAAGAAAACAAGAAACCATTTTCACCTTTTCGATAGAAACAACCGCAAATGGATTCTTCAATGAAGACAACATTGTGATTATCTTTGGAAGCACCTCCTCAAACATTCCCACCGGCTAAACAAGGACCTTTTCTCACTTCTTTCCTCTCTTTATATACATACACAACCCTTCATCCCTTCAGTTTCGGAGCCCTTCTGAATAGGCTCTAACGCTTAACATATATTTCCTCAAACACTAAACTTACAGTGACACCCTCAAACATGATTCAAGCCAATGGCCATCGTCTTGAAACAGTGATAGACATAAAGAAACCCGTGAGTTTCACTGGGGGTCTTGCGTTTGAGTGCCTTACGTACACAGTAACAAAAAGGAAGAAGGTTGAGAATAAGTGGTCAAAAGAAGAGGTGGACTTGTTGCATGATATCACTGGCTATGCACCAAAGGGTTGCATCACTGCAGTGATGGGTCCTAGCGGTGCAGGAAAGTCCACTCTTTTGGATGGACTTGCTGGGAGAATTGCAAGTGGGAGCCTTAAAGGGAGGGTGTCTTTGGATGGAACAACAGTGAGTGCAAGTTTGATCAAAAGAACTTCAGCATATATAATGCAAGAAGATAGGCTTTTCCCAATGCTTACTGTCTATGAGACTTTGATGTTTGCTGCTGATTTTCGCCTTGGCCCGCTTTCACTTTCTGATAAGAAGCAGAGGGTCGAGAAGCTTATTGAGCAGCTTGGCTTATCAGTAAGTGCTCTTCAACCATTAGAAAAAGTGTTCCATGCACTAAATTCTGCCACTAAGTTTAATTGTTTCACATCTTTTAAGCTATTTTCTTAAATGGATGTTGTCATGAACCAACAATTCAGAAGCTTAAAACTGATAGATAATGGCATCGATAATTTTAAGATTTGGACTCATCTGAAATACACTAATAATAATTGCTGATTCACAGTTCAAGTTAAGTTATGATTGACATATTGGACATACTTAAACAAACGGATTTGTTTAACATGTGTTGAAAATATAATAAAAAATTAATAAATAATAAATTTTATAAAAAATATTGTAATTAATATTATCAATTTGTAGTAATATGTAATTTTTTATAAAAATTATTATTTATGGGTTATTATTATATACGTTATATTTTTTTAAAATAAAATAAAAAGTACTAAAATCTTGATTTTAAAATTTTCAATCAATTAATTGTTATTTTATACTTTATCTTTTATAGTATACCCAGCAAATCCATGATTTTATATTAGGTGTCCTTGATGCAAGATTCATTTGGACTTGAAACATGAATAATACATAAATTTATCAATTTTGTTGACATAAATTATTAGAATTCATTTAAAGCATAAAAATGATAAATTTTTATTAAAAATATTGTTTTTAATAAAATCATACTATCTTAAATATTTAAAATTAAGCCTACAAATTAATCTTAATACTATCTTAAATATATTTATCTTGTTTTATAATTCAAATTAATCTTAATCTTAAGGAAATGTGTTTTTAACCATTAGAAAGATACATCTTTAGTTAAATTTCTGCAACTATGATATATTTTTTAAATGTATATAAATAAAAATTGAACTAAATAGTTTTTTAACATATACAATTAAAATGTGTATAATAACTTTTTATTAAAATTATGTGATATCATAAAATTAAATATTATAGTTTTTAATGAAAAAAATATTATTTATGATTTTTTATTAAATATGTTTAGTCATACATTTAAAAAACTACAAAATAAAAATAATGACAATGAATTTTGAATCATTGAAACACCATATCTAATAATTCTAAGTTACATAGTATGTTTATAATATAACTTGAACATGGGTGGTGCAGTCATCTCGAAACACGTACATAGGAGACGAAGGGACAAGAGGACTGTCAGGTGGAGAGCGTCGAAGGGTCTCAATAGGGGTAGACATAATCCATGGCCCTTCCCTTCTCTTTCTAGACGAACCAACCTCAGGCTTAGACTCAACAAGTGCTCACAGCGTCATAGAAAAAGTGCACCACATTGCACGTAGTGGCAGCACCGTAATTCTCACCATCCACCAACCCTCATCAAGAATCCAATTGCTTCTCGACCACCTTATCATCCTCGCAAGAGGCCAACTCATGTTCCAAGGTTCTCCCAAAGACGTGTCACTCCACTTGGCTCGCATGTCACTCAAAGTCCCCAAAGGAGAGAACCCCATTGAGCATCTTATTGATGTGATTCAAGAGTATGATCAACGTTGTGATGTTGGTGTTGAGGCTCTTGCTGAGTTTGCACGCACTGGGGTCAAACCTCCTCCTTTGTCTCATTTGGAGCAAGTGTCACTCTCTTCTATTGCACCTTCTCACTCTCATCCAAGCCATGTGTATGAGGATAACTCTCATGACTTCTCTCGCGTGTCACAAGCGAGTAGACGAGTGTTAAATGATTTTGATCATAGCTTGAGAAGTCCATATAACACTTCTATGTCGTGGAGCACTGGTAATAGTGCAGCGTTTCTAAAATTCACTCCTTCAAGACTTAAAAATGATCAGAAGGTCCGGAATCCCGCAAGGTAATTAATTAAATTAACCCTTTTGTTAATTTTAATTTTTAAGACCAAAGTTTAAGTATTTAAAAGTAGTGTTTTTTTAATTGAAAATATAATAATTGTTGTCGTTATACTATATATTCAGCAGTATTTATATGAGAATTTTTATCATATAAGCTTAAGTTCTATTTGGTTAAGCAAGTTTATATCTAGAATGAAACTTAATACAAGTTCTTAAATGATATCATGTCATAACAAACTGTTATTTTTTAAGTTATTAGATGAAAACATACAAAAAAATTTTATGTTCAGCTTGTATGTTATTTTTTATGATATATATGATTGTGTGATGAAGTAAGACGTGACATTAAAACTAAAACTGCTAATCCTATTTTTGTGTATTTGTTATTTGAATCACAATTATTTTATACAATTCTATGTTATTTGCATGAAAAAAAGTGATGTGACAAAAATATTTTTGTTGTTATGCTTAATCATTGGTGTGATGCGCAGAAATGCTTCCCCTGGGTACTACCAATACTCAAGTGAAATCATGGCAGCTACTCCAACTCCACACAGCAGTGACTACACAGTGAATGAGAACGATTACCTAACTCCCCAAAATGGCACAAAAGAACACCTTGGCTCAAAATTTGCAAATCCATACTTAGTAGAGACTTGGATCCTCATGCGCCGTAACTTCATTAACATAAGGCGCACCCCTGAACTTTTTCTATCAAGACTAATGGTTCTCACTTTCATGGGCTTCATGATGGCCACTTTGTTCCTTAGACCAAAAGAATCTTTGCAAGGCATCACAAACCGTCTCAGTTTCTTCATCTTCACAGTGTGCCTCTTCTTCTTCTCTTCCAATGATGCTGTCCCAGCCTTCATCCAAGAGAGGTTTATTTTCATAAGGGAAACTTCCCACAATGCTTATAGAGCTTCCTCTTATACCATAGCAAGCCTAATCACTCACATGCCATTCATTGCTCTTCAAGCAGCAGTGTATGCAGTCATTGTTTGGTTTGCTCTAGAGCTTCGAGGCCCTTTCACTTACTTTTTGCTTGTTCTCTTTGTTTCTCTTCTCTCAACCAATTCATTTGTTGTGTTTGTGAGCTCAGTGGTTCCAAACTACATCTTGGGTTATGCTGTGGTTATCGCTTTCACTGCCTTGTTCTTCTTGTTCTGTGGATACTTCTTGAGCAACCATGACATACCCACATATTGGCGTTGGATGAACAAAGTTTCAACCATGACATACCCTTATGAAGGGCTCTTGATGAACCAGTACCAGACCAATGATATCTTTGGGAAAGTTGGTGGTATACCCATTACCGGTTTTGATATCTTAAAAAGTCTTCACATTGGAATTGATGAACATAAGAAGATGACAAATGTGCTTATAATGTTTGGTTGGGCAGTGCTATATAGGATTTTATTTTACTTTGTCCTTCGTTTTGCATCAAAAAATCAGAGGTCGTAGTGCACTGTTATGGAAAAGTCTGTGACAAAGTTCACCATTTGATTGGTTTTGCATTGCAATCATATTGTTTTATGGTGGAGGAACTTTTGGACCTGTTGGTTCATTGTATTGTATTTGCATCAAGCTTTATAAACCATATACATAACTTGAAGGACATATATTGTTCCTCTTGTAATAAAGTGAATCAAGGGGACTAGAGGAAGCTTTGACAAAAGTGATTTAATTTGTCATTTGTAGCAAAGAAATGAGGGAAAAAAAAAAAGACTCATTAATGATCTAGCTTCATCCAGAGAAAAACAGATATTGGTAGCACAGCTTTCCAAAAGGGACAGTGTTTTCTTTAAATGATTGTTGTAATGTGTTTATGAGTCAATGAAAATCTTACTGAAGTTGGGTTTTCAGACAACAGTATACTTTAAAGTAGAATTCAATATAATTTTGATCTAATCAGTGAATTATATTATATATGCATCGCCAGGTTTACAAAATTTTCTGTCTCACCTCAAGTCGGTTATGTAATCTGAGCCATATATGGATATAAAATTTAGAATAAAAAGTTGAAAGAAGAATATGGCACCTCGTAGAAATGAGTGAAAAGCAACAATTGCTCCATTTTCATAATTTTAGGATTTTCCATTGACATATAATAACAATAATTTTGAGTAGAAAATTCCAATTTAATTGACTTATTTGTGATGAATGGAACTTTATTAGTTGATTATGATAAATTAATTCCTATATCCGAAAGGTCTTCTAGCTACAGTGCACAGTGGTGTTCGTATAAGCATATATATAATTTTTTTTTGTCAAAGACGATATGGAGAGATCATGTTTGGCCTTATGATAGAGGTTTTGGCCATATGTAGTATTAAGTGACAAAGCATAATAGAGAAATATGCCAATGAATCCATTGGAAGCACCAAATTCGTTTTGTCGGGTATAGGCTAGCTTACTTGACTTTATCATTATGAAATAATATTAAAAAACTTTGGCCAAAATAATAATATACAATGAGGAAAACCTTTAATTATACCGAAAAGGCTAATTTAATAATATACTTTCCAGGATTATTTATCATTACACGTCAACTTGGATAGCATTTAAAAATTTTGGGTAATTCAAAATATCAGGAAATTGAATTGCATTAGTTTAATTCTTATTATTTTTATTTTAATTTTAATTTTCATTTGATTTTCTTGTTATGAAATGAGAATCAAGGATTACGAAAATTTCCCAATAAACTTGTGCTATGGGACTTCAATTTTATGTCTCTATAGAGTCTTCCCATTAACAAACTCTTCCTCCAAATAGTCAATTATATATAATCTAAATTAAAATATTTAAGCGTACAATTATATATATAAATGGATCAACCAATAGTGGTTAGGTACAACGGAAATAAATTGTGATGATTTCGAAATTCAAATCTTAAAGTTATTACTATAAAAAAAAATTAATTAATATCAATATTTACGACATAAAGCTTAATCTCATCATTTGTGCGGGTTGCAGGCTAAGTTAATTCTAAAACTCCCTCCTTGAACGGGGAAGGATAAAACAACTCATAAACACTCCAAGCTCAACCTTACCTAAAATATATGAAACAAAAAGTGGCTTTGGAAAGATGAAGAAATTCATTTTCCAAGTTTTAAATTAATCACGGTTTTCTTTCGTTTTTCAAATTTCGAACCATGGTTTCAATTAACTTATATTAGTTCTAAACTCTAATAAACAGCTAAAGTATATAATATGTTGCGGTACTCTAATAAAGAACAATACTATCCATAGTTTTTAAGAATTAATCTCATAACAATACTAATAAAAAAAATAATAGGCATAATGGCTGGTGTATGATGATGACTGCATCAAAATTTTGAAACTTAAAACATTAGTCTTCAATAAATTTTGAATTCTTTCTAACAACTTTGAAATTACCGGCAAATATATAGAATTTTCCAAGCAACGTGTTATGCTGACTGATACTATAAGTAACACATTTTATTTTTGACACAAAAGAACAAATTTATATTTGTATAATAAACAGCTCAACTGTCCAAAAGTATGCTAAGAGATTGGCTAAGCAAAACGTTATATATATCAGATATATCAACATCTATCCTTTCTGTATTTACAATGCATCCAGTGACTGGATTTTTGTGCCTCTGGGTAGATAAAATTAGAATAATGAGAAAATTAAAAGATTATTGGAATAAGGAAGAATGCATTCACTAAGCGTTAGAAATTTTATTTCCACTGTTTCATGTTATTTACCTTTTAAGGTCAAATATACTTTTTTGAAAAAATATTTATTACATAAATTTTTATGATAAAATAATTTTTTTTGACAATACTATCTTTATTTAAAAATTTGAAATATAATTATGTATAAATATTTACGGAAGATATCAATAAATGGGAATATCACTAAAAACTATTACTTTCTTAATCTTTAAAAACGACTAATGTTTTTAAACCAAAAATAAAAAATATAATTTAATGAAACATATAAAATGAGACAGAATTAATACTTGTTAGTAGTTGTTTGAATTAAGAAAAAGGGATTAGTCAGTACAACATAATTAGTATATATAACTTATTAATTACAAACTACATAATTTCTTGAATCTGTATTACCAGTCCAATTATATATGGCACTTTTGGTTTCCTCAACGTGATAGTCACTCAAACCTTTACAACTTGATGGCATTGTTTTCAAGAACTTTCACTTCTTTTAATTTAGTTCTCTATATTTTTGTTTTTGTAAATAAACCTTTTTATAGAGGTAAAGTGGCAGAAAATAATAGTGTTATAAGAAATAAAGTGATAAAAAAAAAGGAATATAAAAAGGTTTAATGACATAAAAAAATGAATAGAAAATAATTTTTTTATAAAAAAAACAACAGGAGAATGTAGTGTAATTAACTCTATACGTGATGTACTAAAACTGCTACATTTAAATGAAAATAAAGATGGACTAAAAATAACTAAAACGGATAAGATGAAGAATAAATTCAATTATCAGTAATATTATTAATCTGAAAAAAAGATCATATCTACATTCTAATATACCTTCAGGTATAACCATCTGATCTGAACACTGAAAATGAAAACGGATTTAATCATGATAATATTCTGTGCACAGTTGACCATCTGATTTTTGACGCAGTATGGAGATTTTTTAATCAGTATATCCAACAACCTCAAACACAAAAGGGGAATGTTCTTTTTATATACTATGAAGCTATGTATGGGATTACATAAACAATTATAGGGACTACATTCACCACAAATTCTGTTAAATTTTGGTAGATGGATGATAATTTAATTTGTAAAGTAATTTTCAGTCTGTGCACGCTGAACAGTTAGACTGTTACTACAATGATGTCAAAGGGTTACTCTTTTAAGGTTTCCTTGAGCCACTCCCTCTTAATGTTTGGTTTCAAATTTTCATCTAAGCAAAATATTAAAGAGATTAAATATGAAAAGGAACAATTGGTGCGTTGATAGTGCTAGGCATGATATTGAAGTCTCAGCTTTGAAACTCTTTACAATTGCTCTATTTTAGTTTTTTTTTTTCTTTCTTTCTTTTGTTTGAATTTTTTCCCTATAGAACTTTATTACCTACATCGTGAAATCAGATACATGAGACTCTCAAAATAATGCTCATAACCATTAGTGAAAAATGCATTGGTCAATATTAGTGGAAACTGGAAAACTAAGTATATAATATTATAACTTAAAGACGCTTCAACAATAATTCAGTAACACTTGCTAAGTCTGTATACCAGAAAAGTTGAAAGTAGTTCCAAATTACCACTCCCTATTTTGATCATGTTGCATCCATGGTTACAAATGAGAGAGAGTTGAAGGCGGAAGAAGACGAAGGACTGGTCTGTCCAATTATTTTAAACCATATGAATATTTAAATGCATATAATCAAGCAACCACCACCAAAACAATATGAATAATAATGCTTAACATCAATAATAAAACTATTAGAAAATAATTAACTATGGACTTGTACTAATTCAATCCCCTTACTCGCCTTCCATCTCTTTCCTAGCTACTACCTCCTGCAGTTCCCAGGCTTGAAGTCAAACCCATATTTCAAGGATCTTTTTTCTTCCAACCCTTCATCCAATTAAGCACTTTTGCAAATGGCTTCAAATTCTTCCACAACGGACAAGTTCTCAAAATTATGGGATTGACCAAAGTTTCTTTTCTTCTTTCCTGTGATATAGGGAAACTCAATAGTGTTTGTTGTCAAGGCAAATAAAGAAATGGAATTCAAAAGAAAATTTATGGTACTAGATGGAAGATGAAATGTTAGTTGGCATGGATTCATGTTTGACAACCCCATGGGGTAACCTCTCTTTGAGATTATGATGGAGTTAATGCATATTTGGATATTAAGACTGGTTGTGGCATGTGCTCTTTGTCTGCATATATCTATCAGATCAGCTTATGCAACTGAAGGTTTGCAACTTGATAGTATAATTCTTTTAGATCATTATGTCTCCGGATTTTTTTCATCTTTAGTTATAGTAGGAAAATATAATATATCTACTGAGGATCATAGTTATAAATGGGAAAAGTAAAACAAACTTCTTTGCAAGGATACCGAAATAGAATTGGTAATTTCATACTTTCAATACTGATAGAATCATAAAAACATTTCACACTTTCTTTTCTTGGTGTTGCTCAAATTTCTTTAAGGGAAAATCCAATTTCTACAAAATGAATATAATCTGTGACATTTTCTCTGCAGGGTTTGAGAGTATAGCTTGCTGTGCTGATTCAACTTACACAGATCCTCGGACCACCTTAAATTATACAACAGATTACAGGTGGTTCTCTGATAAAGGAAGTTGCAGACGAAGAACTGGAATTGCGTTAAATCAAAGAAGCAATGAAAACTTTCGACTGTTCGATATAGATGAGGGAAAAATATGTTACAATTTGCCAACAATTAAGGATGGAGTATATCTGATAAGGGGCACATTTCCATTCGACCATGTAAATTCTTTCTTTAATGTTGCAATCGGTGTAACACAATTAGGTGAAGTGAGATCATCCAGGCTCCAGGACTTGGAAATTGAGGGAGTTTTCAGAGCTACCAAAAACTACATAGACTTCTGCTTAGTGAAGGGAGATACTAATCCATTTATTTCTCAGCTTGAATTAAGGCCATTACCTGAAGAGTACCTAAGTGATTTGCCTGCCAGTATTTTCAAACTGATAAACAGAAATGATCTTCAGGGCACGAAAGATGAAATCAGGTATGTGCTGTACTTTATTGAGGTAAATTTCGCCTCCATTTGTCAAAAGAAGTGCATGTCCTAGAAATCTAAAAGGCATAGGGATTGTCACTTTGTGATTTTTATGGTAGCATCATATTCATACTTCGAGTAGATATTAAATATAGATATATATTGCAATTTGTGTTATGCTCGAACTTGTTTTAGACATAATGAATTTTAGCAGCATGATGCATGAACCATACCTACACATGTATGACATAAACTATGCTTCACTTTACATAAAAAACTGTAGATGCATGAACACCTTCATGTTAACTTTTTTCTTTATGATGCAATGAGATGCATCTGAATGAAGATAACAACAGATAAGGAAACAATAATCCAGAAATCCGTCACTCAATCCGTTATAATATGCAACTCACAAGAATTATTGTTGCAGTTTTGTTTTGGATACCTTAAGTGGTGCAAACTGCAAAGAGAAGGATGTCAATGACGTGTATCATAGTTTCTATTGAAGTGCTTTGTGCTTAGTGTTTGTCTGTACCTTCGTTTTGTTGCTCTGATTCTGTGGATTATGTACATGGACAGAAAGGTCTTATAATGCTGCTATTTACCAAATTTTAGGTTTCCAACTGACCAAAGTGATAGAATCTGGAAAGCAACTTCAGGTCCATCATCTGCTCTTCTATTGTCTTCCAGTGTCAGTAATTTTGACCTCAAATCTAATGTGACACCACCACTACAAGTCCTACAAACAGCTCTTACCCACCCTGAGCGATTGGAGTTCATCCACAATGACCTTGACACTGAGGATTATGGATATCGTGTGTTTCTCTATTTCCTTGAATTAAATAGTACTGTCAAAGCAGGCCAAAGGGTGTTTGACATCTATTTTAACCGTGAGATTAAAAAGGAAAGATTTGATGTATTGGCTGGAGGGTCCAACTACACATATACTGTCTTGAACGTTTCAGCAACTGGATCACTTAATGTAACCTTGGTCAAGTCATCTGGCTCTGAGTTTGGACCCCTTTTGAATGCTTATGAGATCTTTCAGGTGCGATCATGGATTGAAGAGACCAACCAAATAGAAGGTAAGAGTGCATATGCTGTTATTTTCCTCATTTTTCTGGCTGGGGTTGTCACATTAAGCTGTGTTTATACATTCCAATTTCTTATTAATTTCTGCACCAAGTTTGTCGTATTGATGAATTTTATTCCAAAACTAAAATCTTCACAAATAACTTCTACTTCGTCAGTGGAAATGATTCAAAAGATGAGAGATGAATTGCTGTTGCAAAACCAAGACAATAAAGCACTGGAGAGTTGGACTGGAGACCCTTGTACTCTTTTTCCCTGGCAAGGAGTAGCATGTGATGGTTCAAATAGTTCATCTGTTATCACTAAGCTGTAAGTCCTTTTATTCCTTTTTAAAATACTACCACAAGTATATCAGACTCAGATTGTGGCTTTAATGACCCACCAGTAGTTGGTTATAGTGGAAATGGACTTTGACCCTAGGCAAACTTTACCCACAATGTCAATGATTTCAAAAATTCTCTCAGCTAAGAGAGCTTTTAGAGCAAAAATAGGCAATTTTTCCCTCCAAAAATACTCTTCCAAACATGCACTTAGGGTTGTGTTTAGGAATAAAACTCAATTAAACCATTATTCAATAAACTCCTTTTATATGAAGACTTATCCTATAAATTTAACCATAAAACATCTTGGAATAAGCTGAAAAGAGCTTATTTTAACAAGTTATTTTGAGAAACTTACTGAAATAAGCTGAAAAAAAGCTTATGGGAGCTATAAGTTATTTTCATAAGCTATTCTAAACGCCCCTTTACTATCACAGCTATGTCTATGAGAATACCTAATCAAAGACTGAAAAAGATAATGGCTTTAAAGTATTGATATATGCTTTTATCAACCAATCAATATCTGTAGGTCAGCAGGTTCTATTTCAGATAAATCAAGCCTTATTTTTATCTGCTCATTCCCCTTTTCATAAGCTCTTTATTATTATCTACAATTTTTATTTACAGGGACCTTTCCTCAAGTAATCTCAAAGGACCAATACCTTCCAGTGTGACAGAGATGACCAACTTAAAAATACTGTATTGCCTTCGAAAATCCTGTTCAATTGCTTCTGCAATTATTTTGGTGGATAAATTGGGACTGTCTTATGCATTGATGTAATTATTTGTTATATGCAGGAACCTGAGCCATAACAGTTTCGATGGTTACGTCCCCTCATTTCCACTGTCCTCCTTGTTGATATCAATGTAATTATCCCTTCTCGTGTTTAACTATGATACTGTCTGAGCTATAGCGCTTCTAATATCCTTGTCAATGTTACATAAACAATAAGCACAACCATGCCACTTTATTACTTAATGGAATTGCAAGTAAGCTTCACTGTTATATAGCTCAACAAGCATTTACTTGCAATTTGATGTAGATGGATGGCAACAAATTGCACGCTTTAATAAACAAGTTCCTAGTCGTCCTTCATTCTCCTTCTTGAAGCAGAAAGGGAGCATAACTGTATAGTATTTGATTTAGTGTCCTATACATATATATAGACATAACTGGATGCTAACACTCAACTCAAATAATCCGTCTAGATTTTTTTCGTATATACGTGCTCTAACATTTATCCTCTTGGATTTGTATATCCATAACTCTACAACATCTCGTCAGTAACAAGAAGCAGAAAATATCAATGCATTAAGTATTATCTATAATATTCATGTGCGTCAGTAATTAAGGCCCTTCTCTATGATACTTTAGTAGTTGCAGAAATTCTATATGATACTTTAGTAGGTGCAGAAACACATCAATGTACAATGTCCTTATGAATAATACTTGAGAGGATATGCTTAGACATTATCATGTTACATATATTGCTCCATTTCTTTCTTCTCCCACAAGAAAATTACCGCTGAAACATTTTCAAATGTTGATTGCTTTAAATTTACTGAGCAGGGATCTGAGCTACAATGATCTTGTGGGATCGCTTCCAGAATCAATTGTCTCACTGCCACATTTAAAATCATTGTAAGTTTTATGTGTTGGCATCCTACTTCTAGACCAGGAAGCCAATTTCAAATATTTTCAATTTTTTGATATAATTCTACACAAATTTAGCTTGTATGTTATTCATTTACAGGTATTTTGGCTGCAACCAAATGAGCGAAGAGGATCCTGCAAATTTGAATAGTTCACTAATCAATACTGAGTATGATACACTCTTTGAAACATAACAACAAAAGCTTAAAAGAAAATGATTTTTTTTAACATTAGCCTTTATGCATGATTTTAAGTATCTAAAAGTAATACATTTTTATTAAAAAAGAAAGAATTTATTACATAAAAAATAATTTTTTTAATAAAAAATTACTTAAGACATTTAGATTTTTAAATTTAGCCATAAGGACAGATGTTAACATTTTTTATAAAAAATAAAGCACACTTTTGTTTATTTTTATCATTAATATTTCAGTTATGGAAGATGCAAAGCAAAGCAACCTAGATTTGGACAAGTATTGGTTATTGGAGCTATTACAGGTGGATCACTTTTGATTACCTTGGCTGTCGGAATCCTTTTTGTTTGCCGGTATAGACAAAAGTTGATCCCATGGGAAGGATCAAGTGGAAAGAGCTACCCAATGGCAACAAGTAGGCATTTTGTCTTCTCTAACCCTTGATATCCTAAGTGCCTCTGCATTCTGAGGCAATATATTTTGCATTTTAGATAAACAAACAAAAAATATACTCACATCACTCTTTAAAAACAATGCCAGATCATAACATCAATGGTCTTGAAAGATGTCACCTTTATTATCACACATGGTTTTACATTAAGAGAAAATTAGTTTTCAACTTCTATTGGCTTCTACAAACATGCACGATAAATATGAATGAGCTTCTGCTGAAAGGTTTATGTGGGTCTTACATCTTTAAATTATGCATCCTTCACTCCATTTGTCCACTGTTCCCTATGATTAAATCCACTTTTGTTCTATAGATTTGCATGTAACCCATACACATGACTAAAGCAAATGCAGGGTAAAGCTAGCATTTCAGTAAAAAAAAAACTCACACATAATGGTGTGTCTAATGATTATAGTAATGAAGGGGATAGTACATCAGAAAATTAACATATCTTATGCAAATTTTTACCTGGCTACTACAAGTATGCACTCCATAATTGTACACTTTGCATGACTAGTAATGAGAAACTTCAAGGATGACAACAACGATCATATAATGATAGATGATATTTGTGTGGAAGAGTATCTATTGTCTTGTTCTTTTGTTCTGAATGAGGGAAATGTTTTTGTTACCTAGGTTTTGTGCAATCAGCATTGCATATGTATGACATATTCTACTACCAAAACATGCAGATGTAATATTCTCTTTGCCAAGTAAAGATGATTTCTTCATAAAGTCCGTATCAATTGAAACATTCACTTTGGAAGATATAGAGGTGGCAACAGAGAATTACAAAACTTTGATAGGTGAAGGAGGGTTTGGCTCTGTTTACCGGGGCACTCTAGCTGATGGTCAAGAAGTGGCAGTGAAAGTCCGGTCAGCCACATCAACACAGGGAACTCGAGAATTTGATAATGAGGTACAATAAGCATTTTTAATTTTTAGATGTATCAAAATTCCTATGAAATGTTCCTATTTAAGAATATACAGTCTGCAAGTGTAATTCAAAATCTGATGTTTGCATCCAGTCAAATGCTGAAGAATATAAAATCTCCTTTTATCACTACATCCCCAGCTCTTACATTCCCCAACCCATCTTTCATTGAAATGTTAACAGTGGCTCTCTTTTCACATCGTACCATCTGACTAGTCTATGATGTATCTTGCAGCTGAACCTACTTTCTGCAATACAGCATGAGAACCTTGTGCCTCTTCTTGGTTACTGTAATGAAAATGATCAACAAATTCTAGTATATCCTTTCATGTCTAATGGTTCTTTGCAAGATAGACTATATGGTAAGCATTCAAAATTTCTTTCAGCTGATTCATTTTTGCACCCGGTAATTCTAAAATTCAACTTAACAACAGGGGAACCTGCGAAGAGAAAAATATTAGACTGGCCAACTAGACTCTCTATTGCTCTTGGTGCAGCTCGAGGCAAGTAATGTTATGTTTTATTTTTACTAAGCTGCACCAAATATGCCTAATCAACTCCAAAGCTTACATCATATTAGGAAGGAAAGATAAATGAAATCGTATTCACTCCTTAATGATCAAATCATAAAACTGATTTAAATGAAAAGTGGACAAGGTGAAGCATATGCAATAAGCTAGGTGTGGACATTATGCATTGACACTAGAATATGAAGAGAAAAGGCATATTGATTTCTCTAATGAATAAAAAAACTAGAGGAAATCATTAGCAAATTGATGAGGCTTTACAGATTGATAGTGATAGAGCAATCATATTTGTTTCTACTTTTTAGTGATTAGGATGACATTGCAAAGATATCTGCAGGGGAACACTGGAAGAATATGAAAAATCACATGCACTTCATAATAGTGTACTTTTGATACACTCCTCCAATAGTATTTACAATATTAAGAAATTTCTTAATTTTGGTTTCTATAAATTTTTATGTTGTTATTGACAATGTTGAAGTCACTCTTTTAAAACATTAAATGTACAAAATACTGGCTGAAAAATTATTAGAAACTGAAGAATTCTGCACATCAATTGAATTCTTGATTGATACTAATAATTTCAAAAAAGATAAGATTTGGTCAGACTATCACTTCATAAGAGATATCTAATGCTGCAATGGAGGCTATAAAATTATGGGAAATTTGAGCCTACCATTCCTCAAATAACATAAGTTTCTGTACTTATTATCTTTGTTCAAGCAATATTGACACAAGAATAAGCTTTCAACAGAATTCAAATTCTAGCATAAAAGCAAGTTATTCTAGCATAACTCAGTTTATGACCTAATTGACTTCACTACAATTTTCATTTATAACATGTTGCAGTTGCAGATCATAGAATGTTAACAAATCTTCTAATTGAGCAGGTTTGGCATATCTTCACACATTTCCAGGACGTTCAGTAATACACAGGGATGTAAAGTCAAGCAATATACTTCTGGATCATAGCATGTGTGCTAAGGTGGCCGATTTTGGTTTCTCAAAATATGCTCCTCAAGAAGGAGACAGTAATGTTTCCCTTGAAGTAAGAGGAACTGCAGGGTATTTGGATCCTGAGTAAGTAAACTCCTTGGATCATGTCTTAACCTGAACTTCTCATACCGCTTTATCACTTTGAGAAAAAGATTTATTACACTTCCCACATAAAGGTTTCTAGGAATCATCTTGAGAAAAGAAAAGGCGTAAAAATCCAAAATCACATGCAAAAATAATTGCCCAGATTCTCCTATTATTTACTGCATTTATGCTTGTTTTGTAGAGGCACTTCAATCACAGGGAGATTGAAGAAAGGTTTCTCATTATATTTCCTTTATAATATGTATATTTATTTATAAACATACAGAAAATAAATTGTTCTGTTAGAATGTAAATAACCTTAGCCGTTAAAGATTATTAGAATGTAAATAGCCTTAGCCGTTTCAGATTTTATTCATAATTATTAGGTAAAATTGTATTTGATTCTGTAAATGAATTAAATATATACTGTGTGGTCTGTGTTAGACACAACATATTCAGTAAACACACTCTTCTATATGTTCAATATATCAGTAACTGCAGATTATGAAGGATAATTATCTGTGAATTGAAATGAGATGAAGAAGAAGCTGACACTCCTCCATATGTTTCCTTTGTAATAAAATGCAACTATGATCTGAACAACTTTCACACTAGCTGAAATTTATCCCTTTGCAGGTACTACAAAACCCAACAATTATCTGAAAAGAGTGATGTCTTCAGCTTTGGCGTGGTTTTACTTGAAATTGTGAGTGGTAGGGAACCTCTCAACATAAAGAGACCACGGAATGAGTGGAGCTTGGTTGAATGGGTACGGATCATGTCTCAAAAATTCATTTTTACTGGATTCTACTAATACCCAAAATCACATTTTGCTTTAGGCACTAAGAAATAACTTTGCATGCAGGCTAAACCATATATAAGAGCATCAAAGATGGATGAAATTGTGGATCCTGGCATCAAGGGAGGATACCATGCAGAGGCAATGTGGAGAGTTGTGGAAGTAGCATTGCAATGTCTTGAACCCTTCTCAGCATATAGACCATGCATGGTTGACATTGTACGTGAGTTAGAAGATGCTCTTATTATAGAAAACAATGCATCAGAATACATGAAGTCCATAGATAGCCTTGGAGGATCCAACCGCTACTCTATTGTCATAGAGAAAAGGGTGTTGCCCTCAACTTCATCAACAGCAGAATCAACCATCACAACCCAAGCCTTGTCCCACCCACAGCCGAGATAGTAAATGGGTCAATGGAATTCATTTGATTCGTTTTTGATAACTGCTTTAGTCATAATACATTCAAAATGGTAAAGGAGAAACTTGGGATAGTACTTTTTTTTTACTCTATGCATCTTGAAACTTAATCTCTCTTGCTAAGCCTTATTTTTAGCGAGTGAAAAGAATAAATTTGGTCAAATGCAAGTGAAATAATATGGTGAAAAAATCAAAGGTCACATAATTTGATAAGTGCAAACTTGACGTGTAAACTAATTTGATGGTGATTTAATCTAGGAGAGTCAACCCTGCATTCGACAGAGCTATAGACACATTAGTTGAATTTTGACTGATTAGATAGAGCTGGACGAAGACCCGAGTTTGTGAGGAATACTCTATGTTCAGCTTACAATCAGATTGGAATTATACAATTTCTTCATACAATAAAGTGCATAACAGACAGAGAAAGAAAGAAAACAGAAAAACGTACGTGATAAGATAATTGTTATGAGGAGAAAACTAGACAAATAATGTTGTATAAATTTAATGTAGGAATAATATTACTCCAATACCTACTGGGAGTTCCTTTAAATCTTCTTTGTTTGGGTCGAAATTTGTGAACACATAAATGAAAGCGAATTATGTGTTTTATTATTATTAATTATTGTTTGCTAACCTTGCCTAAAGGCAATGTTTAAAAAGTAGAAGTAAATTTTTTTTTATTAAAAAATGTATTTAATGTTACCAATTCATCTTCATCGTAATTTTAATAAAAAAAAGTGTTTATTAAATCTTTAGCAAGCATTCTAACACTTATTATTATTATCATTGAAACACTGGAGATAAATTTACAACGTTGCGTTAGTATATTCGTAGATCAATGTTTTCAGAATAATGGTGTAATGTATCGAGCAGAAAGGGTGGGCACGTTTAGCTGAAACGGTTATTTCCTGAGGTAGCATTCGTCAAACTCAAATGACACAGGGTCAAATAGGTTTTATCATATTTTGCGAAGCAACTCTATTAAAAACATATTTAGCAAAAACAATTTTATTGGAAACCATCCTCTTTTATTTGAACTGAATGATTGATTATTAATAGCTTGAAATAGATACCTTCAAAACATAAAAATATTACACAGGTAAAAAAATCTTTTAAAGTGAATTTATTTGTAAAGTAAAGAAGTAGAGAGTAGTTCACCTTTAAATTTTTATATATTATTATCATCATGTACTTCAAATTAAATTAACCATGCATAATTTCTCACTTTTTAACTTTAGAGGAGCGAGACAAAATAAATCATAGCTGAACTAACGTCCTTGTGCTGGATTGTATGGAATGATGTACGGCAATAAAACCTTGTCAGTGGCACTTGATTGAATGAGAGAGACTTTTTTAACTTATCGTTTCGAGATTAAAAAAAAGGGGGTGGGGTGGACTTCAAGAAATTATTTGTCCTCTTTTGATTTTTCCACTCCAAGAAAAACTTGATCTACACGCTCACATTGAACGACTAATCACTGAAATTTTTATGCCTAGCTTCATAAACGCCATGTGGACTCATGTCTTCTTAAAAACATTAAGATTAGAACTAGAATGAGAAAAGGCAAAAGAAAACAGGAGGGGAAAATGAGATTATGTAAGGAAAATGAGATAAATCAGAATCTGAGGCATTCAGAAGAAGGCAATCAGAAGAATGAGAACAAGTAAAAGAGGAAGGAAAGATATTACGTAAGGGAAATGAGCTTGAGCAGAATCCGAGCTGTTTCAGAAGAGAGTTAAGTAAGGCCTAGTTGTTATCCAATGGCTTAAAATGAATGTTGTTAAGAATGTGCAAAAACTCTTTTAGGGACAATAATAACACTCCTTACCGTGCATATGGAAAATGTCAAAATTCAGGACAGCTGTGGACAAAAGAATGGTGTACAAATGAAAGCTAATGTTATGTGAGTATGACTACGTCACATATCATCGAATCCATTTCTATCTAGAGTACAAAATCCAGATTCTGCCAACTGAGCTTCCTTTTTCCTATAAAATGGATGGTACCGCCGATTATAACAATAAAAGGCATAGTCACATTGCAAACATGGTAAAAAACTAAGAATTGCAAGACCTAGTGTTTTGGATCCATGGGAATTTGTTAGTCCAAAGTTGCAAATGAAGCTTAACTAACTATATGATCAACCAAAAAATTGCAGAATGAAGAGCTAGACTTGCCAAAACAAAGCATGACACTAATAAAAAACCTCACTCTTGATTTAGAAAAGACTTACAGATCAAGAATTCCGTTTAGATTTTACATTATAGGTGAAGAGCGCTCACTTGAAAGCTGAATTACAACACAAATCATGTGGCAAAAAGAGAAGGGTTGGCTGAAGCATTTCCCACTTGAACTTCAAGGAGTTCCAAGCGACGCTCCAACACATCAAGCTTCTCATTCAAAGACGCCAACTTGCTCTTCGTTGTAGCCTCTGAACGAACCAAAACAAATGGGTATGTTAGGTCACATCATGAACCCAGAAGAACACACACCAGAATTTCAATAACAAGGAAAAGGGGCGGAAAAAAAAAATTCAAACTTGAGATGATGTTGGTGTTATTCAATGAGCTCCAGCATTCACGGGATAGATAATAACATCAAAGACAAATTGATGACACTGTTTCGTGGATAGACGAAACGACATCATGATAGGTCGTTTCAGAGGATGAGAAAGAGAGAGTGCGTACCGAATTGGACAAGGAAGTCGAAGAGACGACGAACATTGAGAGAAATGTGAGAGATGAATTCGCGGTTTTCCCAATCAGCTTGCACCGCTATTCCCACGTTTACTGCGTTTGTTATCCCTCCTGCACGAGCCATTGCTTCTTCTTCTTCTTCCCCGCGATTCCAGATCCAATGCCAATGCACTTGCAGATTGCAATACAGAGTTTACTTCTGAGTCCACATTTTTTGAAATAAATATTCTCTTAATTTCTTCTTTTCGAAAGAGTTTTTTAATATTCTCTATTTGTTTTTACCTAAATAGTGAATGAAAAATGCTAAGAAATTAAAAGTGAATTTTTTTATTGAAAAGTTCATGTTGCACTCCCTCATAAACATAATTACAAATAAAAATATATATTATTTTTTAATAAATGCCTTTAAAATTAGTGAACAAGACCTACAGTTATTAATTAACTGTTTTTATTTTTCAACTAATGAAGATTATTGAAACATTTTCTCTATCAATTTTTAAGATATTAATTTATATATTATTCAATTGAAAGATATTTCTTTTCTCCTTTTTTTGACAGAGCAAAAAGGATGTAAAGATTTTTCTTTTATTTTTGTGATGGCAGTAAGTTATAAAGCGAGTTGCATAATGGCAGGTAGCGAGTAACTTGCCCCGCCAACAAAAGGGAAAGTAACGGAAGAGTTCATTATGTGGGGTCGACTTCATAGTCACAACTGACAACTTACTTTACTTGATTGTCAGAATAAGAAATGAGACATAATGCTCATCTAATCTAAACCCCATCTCTGAATTGCAGGTTTGTAATGATACATAATATGATTATTTACAAAGAAATACTTAATATTGAAATACCATAATTTTTCAAATAAAATATATTTTAAAAATAATTTACAACGATATACGTAATATAGAAACAGCGAAAATTTGCTTTGAACTTGCTTCTTATTTGATGATTGCAGGATCCTTTTAGAATGTTGATATTTTTTGTGTTAGATTCATTTAGCCATACATAATTTATGCTGAATTATAAAAAGCAGCTTTAATCCTATCTTAAATTTGAGGCTCTTGCTCTTACTCGTGTAATTTCCTTCTCCTAATTCAGATAAAGCCGCATATGCCATTAGATCAAGGATCCCGATGTACTATTTCATGTGCCATCAATTGCCACCTCAAAAGTATCAAAGATAATTTTTTAAAAATAAAATTGAACAACTGACGTTTTACATGTTAGATAGCCCGCCCACCCACCTTCACTTTAATTTGTCACACATACATCCACTTTCAGCAAGACGTGAAGGCACGGAATACAAGTTGGTAGAACGTAGCTTTCAGTATTCCAACAATTGTCCAGCAACTAATTATTTTAGGCACATTGTCAAGTGTTGGATTTTTTGGGGGAAAGAAAACGAAATGATTGTTGCTAAAATATTAATCGAGAAATAATTAATTTAAAAATTAAAATTCCTTTAAAAAATGTAACAACTATATCTCAAAAAAGTTGAGTCCCATTTATTTGAATACATATGGTAGTGGCCATCTATCCTGAAGCTGTAACTTGTAAAAGGCCATTGTGCCTAAGCAATGCATCTGGTGTTGGTTCTCGCCCACGGAATTGCACAAAGACCTGCACAGTGCAGCATTACATGTTTCAACACACAGGATAGCCATATATATATTGAACTTCTTTTATTACAAAACAGATTGAGTTGTGATGTATTGTCTCACCTCCAGTGGTGCCTTGCCACCTCCAAGTGCAAGAATGGTCTCCCGGAACTTGTGTCCTGTTTCTTTAACAGCCTGTTTAGGTGTAAATACATAATAATCAAAATCAAATGTGTAACAATCCATCAAAGAGAAGCACTCTAACAAAAAAGGGTCCAGGGCAAGATCATAATTGGCACCCACAAAAATCACAGCCATGTTTGATTAATTATAATAAATATTGAACCATTCAAGGAATGGTCTATTTGCACAGGATCATCACTGAGTAAAAGAAGCTGGAAGGTCAGGGGAGTGTGTCTGTGCACGCGCTTGGGTATGAGTATAGGGGCATATCTAGTGAGAGCATGAAATATGAGGAGTTAATTTCGACCATACAATTATATGCAGGGCCAACATAGTTTTACTTGAATCTAAGTTTCATCATTTATTTTAGTTACATGGCTAAGATTTATTCCTTATACTTTCATCTCTCACCGGATATGCTTTCTACACACATCAATTTACATGTACGACGACAGGCTGAACAAAATGGTAGTTTGCTCTCAAAAGATAATTGGTAAGATGAAGTGATAAGCTATGCTGTTCATTCAATCGTAATCATGAAAAATAGGGATTTTGAAGATTAAACAAAAAGGAAGTTCACAAACAGTAACGCTAATCCATATTGGCAGCATTTTTATTCCCAAAAAATACCTTGTCATTCTCCAATCCAGCATCCTCAAATGCAGAGAAGGCATCTGCAGACAGTACCTCAGCCCACTGCATAACAGACAATTCACCATATGATATAAATAGTATTTTATTTTTTTTCTCCCCTTAGTTGGACCTGGAGGGACAAGGGGAGGGGAAGGGAAGGCCTTTAAAGCAATGCAGAATATATATATATACCTTGTAGCTATAGTATCCAGCTGCATATCCACCTAACAAATGCAAAACCCAGAAAAATAAATTCATTTTGTTGAGACACTTGCATAATAACAGCGCAATAAGAGGCGCAGCAAACCTGCAAATATATGACTAAAGCTGCAAAGGAACCTATCCTCTGGTAATGGAGGAATCACTTGAGTTTTCTCAGAAACTCTGCGGTCAACATCATAGATGGACTCAGGTCCTCCTGGAACATATTTTGTATGAAGTTCCAGATCCACACATGCAAATCTTAACTGCACATTATATTTATGGACATAGATTAGAAGGCAAAACATGTATTTTAAAACATAAAACATAACACAATAAATAAATAAACAGAACCGGAATTAGAAACTAGGTACACGTAATAAAATATTGAAGCCTTACAGACAAGTTAGTACTTTCACTTGGTGCATGTTTGGAAAGCCCATGAAATCACGCTAGACAATGTTTTAGTGTCAAAGTTATAAGTTATAACTTGTAGCCTTGAAATTGGATTTATGTTTGAGTGAATTTGGCGTCAATCCAAACATGCTATTAAAAATAATCAAACCGAAGAAAATACATTTATGAAGCAATACAATTATAACCAAATTTGAAAATAACTAATTGCATCAAAAATCAATTTCACACCATACACTAGAGACAAGCAACCATAGAAAGAATAAATTTGGGTTCACAGAGTATTTCCATTGAGCAGATTTTACAGGAGGAAAAAAGTGCCTAAGTACTTAATTTATTCAAAAAATAATGGAACAAGAAGAGATGGCAGAACCCCAAAGTACCTAAGATGATGAAAAATACTAAGACTACCTAACCCACAAGAACAAAATAGTTATCCCATAATACAGTTCAGAACATGAAATGATTAGATTGCACAAAAATCATGATATGCCCACAGCATAAATTGGAAGTTAATGAGAGTAATTAACCAGTACATTCATACTGACCTGTCGAAGACTTAAAGAGCCAGCACGAAAAGTCCTGGCAGCAACAAGCTTCAAATATATTTCTTCAGGGAGACTCTCCCCAGTTTCAAAATGCTTTGCAATGCCCAATAAAGTTTCTCTAAAGGAAAAAAAATGCCATAAATATGAAAATATATGATGCTCCAGTTAAGAAATCATGACGTTATGAACAGAAGATACTTAAAGGCACCTCATATAAAGGGTTAAAATGGATCACGTCACTCAAAACAAACAAGCCTAATAATGCCCAAACCCCATGAAGATGCAACGGAAAGAAGTTGAAATGGAGAATATAAAACCATTTACAAGCAATGCTGATGTGGACAGTCAATAGTTGGAAAGAATAAATTTTTCAAAGCATAAGGTCAAAGTTATTCAGAAGACATTGATCAAAAAGAGGATGAAGCATAATCTACAGTTGGGAGAAAGAAACATACTGATTTCCTCTTCACTCTGTTTATAACAGAGAAGAATCAAAGTAACATCTAAGGAAGACAAGGGTATAAACCTCACATGGAGATATTTACTTACCTATGGTAACACCAGTTTTCCATGAATTGAGAAGGTAACTCAACAGCATCCCACTCTATCCCTCTAATACCAGCAACCAGACCCTCATCTTGCTTAGTAAGCATATGTTGAAGTGCATGGCCAAATTCATGGAAGACAGTCTCAACCTGAAAAAGATACCCAACATGAATTTTCAAGATTGAAATCCATTTTAAACCGCAAGTTTATTAAGATTTTGATTGCTCTATCATCAAGATAGTGTAGATCTTTAAAATGTTACTAATCTGGATATTTTTCATTCAGGTTAAAATCTTTTACATAATTGACCTGACACTATAACCCAAGAACCGGAGGTTCCCATGTAAGGCTGAATACTACCCAAATGGGTAAAAATCTCAAATAGTTCTCTCAGAAAGCTTTTGGAAAAACAAACTTCTTTTTTCCACCACAATAAGTTAATCCAAAGTTCAAATACTAATTATTACAAAGTTTAATCATTCATTTATTTAAGAGGAAAATTTCAAGAAATGTCTTCACTTGAAAACATGGCCAGAAATGGAAAAATATTAATAGAGCATTCGTACATTCAAATCAAATAGCATAGCTCAGGAGACAATAATAAATGCAATGCTGAGTGTCTGACCCAATTCCTTGGGTAGTCTGACTCAGACTAGAAGATGCAAGCACATCAATAGCAGACACCACCAGAGGCAAGCAGCGTGTGTTACCATTAGCATAGATATAATCTAATCAGCTCTTTTTAATTGCACAGATAATAATCATAGCAAACATATATATATATATATATATATATATATATATATATATATATATATATATATATATATATATATATATATATATATATATATATATATATATAAACACATCAAGTACAATTGAGGTTACCTCACGGAATGTCATTAGACTTGGCTTGTTTCCAACAGGAGGGGTTTGATTGCACACCATGTGAGCAACAGGCAACCTTGCTGAGGTACCATCACGTGATAATACACGACTACGAGCAAGGACTTCATCCATCCATGCACCTTGCCTTTTTTCAGAAGGACGACTGTAAGGATCAAAATAAAAATATGCAATTGGACTGCCTGAAGAATCCTTGACACGAAAGAATTTGACATCATTATTCCAGACCTGAATAGCAATAATCATGTGTCAGTAATTTTAAA